CAAATTTTTATAACAGCTATGCATTCCGTTAATTTTGTGAATTGGTAAGTTTTGTTAGGTTTTGAAGAAATATACAGCTGAGTATCATCGGCATAACAGTGAAAGCTAATTCCATGTTTCCTAATGATATCTCCTAATGGTAGCATGTACAGAGTGAACAGCAGCGGTCCTAGTACTGAGCCTTGTGGTACTTCATACTGAACTTGTGATCGACAAGACAACTCTTCATTTACTGCTACAAACTGATAACGGTCAGATAAGTATGATTTAAACCATGCTAGTGCAATTCCACTAATGCCAACATAGTTTTCTAGTCTATTTAAAACAATGTTGTGGTCAATGGTATCAAATGCAGCACTAAGATCAAGTAGGCCTACACTAATAGAGAGATACAACCACGATCGGATGATAAGAGCAAATCATTTGTGACTCTAATGAGAGCAGTCTTAGTACTATGGTACAGTCTAAGGGGGCTTTCACACTGGCAGTTTAGTTCGGAACGGAAAGTTCGCATGAAAAATCGCTAATGTGAACGCTGTCATGGGACCCAGGTGCGCACTGGGGTACCGAACCCGAGACTACCTGGAGGAGGTGGTCAGAGTTCAGTTGCTCCCGAACCGAGAATACTTCGCGAGAACTGACGTTCTTCTTCTACTACTATGTACAGCGCGCGTCTTCCTCTGCTTGTAAGACGCGCGCTGTACATAGTAGTAGAAGAAGAACGTCAGTTCTCGCGCATGCGTCCTGGAAATCTCTTGAACTCTCGTCTCAGGCCCACAAGGAAGAAAAGGAATAGTCGAATAAAGTCGTTATTTTTGTTTTTTTCCGCACAAAAAGTATTCTCTTCGCTTGATAAACTTATAGTGGAGCCACTGTAGTCACTTGGACTATTTAAACATTTTCTTCAATGACTTTCTGGGCCGTCAAGTTTCACTCCCTTAGGAAGCCTATGGAGGAGTGATCCACCTCTCAGATTTAATCAAAAATATCTTAATTTGTGTTCCGAAGATGAACGGGGTTGGTACAGCATGAGGGTGAGCAATTAATGACTTAATTTTCATTTTTGGGTGAACTATCCCTTTAAAGGGTTTTGGTACGTATCCTACAGACAAAGACAAATTAATGATATTAAGAAGAGGATCTATGACCTCTGGAAGCATCTCTTTCAGTAGCTTAGTCGGTATAGGGTCTAACATACAAGTTGTCGATTTAGATGATTTAACGAGTTTGCAAAATTATTCCTCTCCTATAGCAACAAATGAATCAAATTTTTCCTCAGGGATACTACAATGCACTCCCTGATGCGATACTGTAATAAACGGTTGGATAGTTATAATTTTGTCCCTGATATTATCGATCTTATAAGTGAAGAAGTTCATAAAGCCACTACTGCTGTGTTGCTTGGAAACTTCTGGGCTTGAAGCTTTCTTTTTCGTTAGTTTAGCCACTTTTTCAAAAAAATATCTAGGATTGTGTTTATTTTCTTCTAATAGGGTTGAAAAATAAGCAGATCTAGCAGCTTTTAAACCCTCTCTGTAAGCAATCGAGCTCTCCTTCCATGAAATCCGAAATACCTCTAGTTTAGTTTTCTTCCAGTTACGCTCCATTTTGCTGGCTGCTCTCTTAAGGGCCCGGGTGTGCTCGTTGTACCACGGCATTGGACTATTTTCTTTAATCTTCTTTAAGCGCAACAAAGCAACTGTGTCTAAAGTGCTGGAAAAGAGAGAGTTAAAAGTTTCTGTTGCAATATCAAGTTCTTCTAAGCTATCCGGGATGCTAAGATGATGAAACTGATTAGGGAGATTATTGATAAAGCAATCTTTAGCAGAAGTGATGGGTCTGACAAATTTATAACACTGAGTCGGCTTTGCAGCCTTGACTAAATGTAATTTACATGAGATTAGATAATGATCTGAGATGTCATCGCTCTGCTGCAGTATTTCAACTGCATCAACATCTATTCCATGTGATATTAGATCTAGAGTATGATTACGACAGTGAGTAGGTCCTGACACGTGTTGTCTATCTTTCTCGTGTACAGCACTTTGTGATTTTATCTGTGAAAAGCGCTTTAGAAATAAACTTTACTTACTTACTTACTAACTCCAATTGTGTTTACAATGTCTTTAAATGCCAATCCCAATGCATCTTTTTCATTATCTACATGTATATTAAAATCACCAACAATTAGTACTTTATCTGCAGCCAATACTAATTCTGATCAGCAAATTCTTTGATAAAATCTTTATGGTGCCCTGTATACAGTAGCCAGCAGAATTCTCAAACGTTTTTATTTGCAGCAGGTCATAACAGTAAAAGGTTCTTCTATTAAGTACTAAAGATGCTTGCCATGAAGGGATTGAATGATTTTGAGACTGCAGAAGTCATTAAAAGTTGCATTTTCAGTTGAATTTGGGGAAACCACTTGAAACATTTGTTGTGTTGAGCCATTTCAACTACTTTTGTTTGATTTGTTCATTGCAAACCGCTGAAAGTCTGTAAATGTTGCCAATAAACCTGATTTGCAATGGGGGTTGAATAATTTTGATTACTACTGTACCATAATTTTACAATAACATTGACTTGTGCTGCATCTTAGAATTATCAATCACACTGTTCATACTGTCACTGTCAATTGGCTTAAAGACAATTCATATTCAGTAAAATGTATTGATTAATCTGTATTTGACACTATCGAATTAGGTCACCGAATAACATAATTGAATTAAGCTGAATAATGTTACAATATTATCTTTTGTAGAGCCACTTTATAGTTGTAATCATAACTGAAATGACTGATTCATGAGAATATTGCTTTGAAGCAATCTGTATTGTATAAAGTATATATCCTATATAAATATTCTTGAAACTTGAATTTGATGGAATGCTCTTAATATCATGATTACCTTTTAACCTGATACATTTGTGACTTTTCACTATACAGTCTTGAAATTAAAGCTGTTTAACAAATAGAATGATTTTAAGAAATACACTGTATGAAAAGTGATATATCTTCACAGTTTGGAAAGAGAAACTGTAGTGTTTGTTAACTTCAGATAGCAGAATGCAGTAAACAAAAGAAAGAAAGAAAGAAAGACAGAAGGATACAACTGGTAAAAATTTATTTCCCTGTAACTGAGTAGCATTCTTTAAAAAAGTAATAAAAGGTATTAGTAGGACAATGACATTGAATAACACTTCACACTTAGACTCTAATAGACTGTACATTTTTAAATCATAAAACCTTTGAAACAAAAATACAGTAGACCAAAGGAGAAGTGACATTTTTTTTTAAATTTAAAAAGGTAAACTACTGTACATAAAGTGAAGATATGCAATTTTATATTACTGTATTTTAGAGCTACACTTCATTAGTAACTAAATTAACTAAAGAACATACTGTACGTTGTAATTTTACTAAATTAAAAACTAAAACAACAGAACATAGCAGTCATTAATGTTACTAAATCTAAAACTATTTTAAAAATAGTTTCAAGGGACAATAAATTATTGTGACAAATACATTCCATGCTTGGTTACAACATTTGTTCTCATACCATTAACTACAGACAAAATGCATTTGTATTTGGCTGCAGACTAATACACATTTTAAAGGGGTCATGAAATGGAGAATCAAAATGTTATTGATATTTACACACATAAGTGGTTACTCTAGAATAAAAAAAAAAAACTGCACGTTTCAGAACTCAAAACTAACTTCCCAGTTCAAAATATGAGTTATTCTTTTCTACCCTTCTATAACATTTGGATTTGAAATCGGGAGAATTGTGATGTCACGATTCTATGTGACACGTTCATTTACATTGTCGTATGTAAACAAGGTGGTGTGTTCTGAACAACTCATTTCAGTCCATCAATCACGCAATACTGCTGTTGGATAAAGATGTCAAGTAAGACGGTCAAACTCAGACGTTGTTATGTTAGGAGGAAGGAAGAAACGCCGGCAAACAGATTTATTTTTAATCTTACAGTTAAGTGTGTTAAATGTCAAACCAGCATTTAATGCTATTAAGACTCCAAGCATTACATTGTTTGAGTGTTGCTAAGAAAATCAGTACGTACTCGAATCAGAAATATTTGCTTGAGTTGAATACATTTTATTATAGTGTATGTTACCGTTGCTATTATTAAACATTATATATAGATATTTGGTTACATTTATGTTGCTTTTCCATTTGATTAACCTTAAATGCTTTAATTCATTTTGTGCAATGTGTTCTTGGAGGAATTCTTACTTTGTTTGCATGTTATAAATCTCGGGGTAAACACATAGGGGTGCAAATGTTATCAACTATTCAGCAGTTTGTACGCCACTATACATCTTACATCAGACCAGAATATGACAAAGTGTTGCCACTAAGAATGAAATTTGCCATTAAATGAAATGCTTAACAGTTGGCAAGAGTGAGAAACAATGTAAAGTTCCCCTGTAGTCAATAATTGTATCCCTTAAAACTCATCTTTGATCACCAAAATTATATATGTAAAAGTTTTTTTCTTGATTTTTTCTTCTTCATGCCTTAAAATGGCTTGAATGTTACTCTACATTCTTGCCTCATTTAGTATACACAGTTCTATGAATATGCAAAAAATTAGCTCAGAGATCCACTCGTTGATGATCAAATTACAAGGTAGTTTGTGACGTCAGAAACACCAGCGATTTCAAACCGCATTTTTGGTTCACTGCAGTTTTAAAGAGAAAATACTCAGCAATGGTGTTGACTTATGAATTTGCACATGGTTTGTCTTAAATCATATTAAAAACATCATAGACAAATAAACAACATTAAAAACTTGATTTCCACCACAGGGGGACTTTAAACTTGTTGATTATTTTATAATACGACAAATGAGTGTTTTTCACAGAGAGTGAAAATGAGGAAAGAAAATCATTTATAAATATTAGACCTTTTTTGTGCAAAAAAAGTTGACAAACTTTATAAACTAACTTAGAGAAACATAATATAAACATCTGAAACTGCATTTTACGACCCCTTTAATCCAGGGAATTATTGTGGTGAATCAGTAGTGCTTACATTTTTTATCTATTGCTGCACTAGGTTGCATCTTAAAAACAAACAAACAAACAAACAAATAATATTACAGTACCACAAATGCCACAGGCATAATCTAAATTTAGATTGTTTCTGTTTTGTAATCATTTCTAAATGCAACCTTGTATATTTATATACACCAGAAAAAAATATCCTCTGGTTTTACACCTTTGGCTTTTTTTCAACAAATGCATGCACATTTACAAATAATTGGTACAAACTAGCAAACGGTTGCATCCAATTTAAAGTTTAAAGCTTAGCATCGCATCCCATTTAACGGCTCATTATACAGGGTTGGGAGTAGGTCAACAATGGACATTAAAAAAAAGTGTGTGCTTTTAACTTTTTTCCTCAAGCCACAAATGGAAGGTGTTACAGTAAGTGCACATAAGAAATGTTTGACTGCTCAACATATCCACAGGAGTATCTGAACGATTGAGAGGTGGGGGGTGGCCACCTTGTGTCCATTTGCTTCCCACAAAACACTCAACACACTCTCATCCTTTTACAGCTTAAGCATAAAGAAGACCTCGTTGTCTGGGCTCAAGGGGCTTTGTTGGGGCGGTCCTGGTGGAAGCTGGCTCAAAAGATCCAAGCTTGCACAAGGACTGTGGGGTACACTACAAGCTCCTTCAGGATTGCCACGCTCCTCGATGGGGCTCCCAGATGTCCTGGTCAGGCTTTGTAGCCGCTGCCTCTCTTGGGCCTGCCTGGCACGGTTAGCAATGTATCTCACCCGACTCTGGCTCCGTGAGGAACTCCTCCGCAAAGAGGGCATCTCTTCTTCCTCCTGTCCCACTTCGGAATCGGTCCTGCACTGAGCAAAGTCTTTGCTTGTAAGGGGTTCCACATCAGTGAGCTGCTTGAGCTGCTCTGTTAGGTCATTCGGGGGTTTTCTTAGAGTTTTCCCTTGATGGCGGCTTGGCCTCACAATGAAACTGCGACTAATGCTGCGATACTTGCTCTCGAAATTACAGACAATATCATCTGAAGTGAGATCTCCAAGACTTTTGGATTTTGAGTTGCTGTCCATGTCTTTTGTTGAGGGGGTGGTTGACCTCTTGGAGACAGCTGCAGCAAGCGTGGATGACTGCTTTAAGCCCTCCATGTACAACCTGCTCCACGTGTGGCGCCTCTGCATGGGCCGGCTAGGGTCTTTCTCGGCCACCAGAGGCCTAGGCTGTAACTCGTCCTCTGGCTCGCACATCTGACCATCCCGCAGATTGGGGTTGGACTTGCTCTTGGTGACGCGTGAGACGCTGCATGCCACAATGGTTGACCGAGGCTGGTTGGTCCTGTTGGGCAACGATACCTGGTTGTCCGAGTAGTCCCGGGCAGCACTAAGACAGGTAAGGCTTTTCCTGGAAAGGTTGGGCAAGGACAAATCAATCACAGTGTCATTGGATGAAATGCTGGAAGACGATGACACACTATCCCGATGGCTGCTGGGGTCGAGTTTGCTCCAGAGCCTGTCATTTAATGTGGCGTCAATAGAGACTTCGGGGACCACTGATGGGCCGTCTGCTTTTTTTACCGCCTTCATTTGTCCTTCACTTTTGGTTCTTCTGACAGGGGTCCTCAGTCCTGTTTGCAGGCTTCGTCCAATGTCTCTGTCAAACACCCCCTTCAACGCCTGAATCCTTTGAGAGCTCTGAATAACAGTTGTTGCTTTTACAGCATCTATCTCTAGAGTCTGTCCTCTTTTTATTTCAGCGATGTTGGGGTTAATATCTGCTTTTTGCACAACCTCACCATCTGTCTGGTCTGGTAGAGGGGGCGTATCACATCCAATGTCAAGGTAATTTGTGGAAAGTGAAGAGTTGATGTGGCTGTTCCAAGAATCCTTGCCTCTGATGCTGTATGGACCAATACACTCGGTTAGTGCAAATGATTTCAGAATGTCCTCATTATTTTTCATAGTGCTACGATTTTCCCCATTGGAAGATGTTGTTATTGCTGAGGATGGTGAAGACAATGTAGTGGAGAGACAACGTGATGAGGTATCCAGAGGACTTTGTGTTGAGGTCAAAGGAGTGTTCTCCTGAAATTGCGCAGTAATGGATTCCAGACATGAGGCGTTTAGAGATGGAGTTGGACTCTGCACTTCAGAATTTTCTGGAAGCACATAACAAGCAGAAAAATATTAGATACAAATAGGGACACTCAAAATGCTGTTAGAAATAAGAAAAGAAAGAAAAAACACAATGAGACTGCATAAAATATATCATGAATGTCAAACAAAACCAACAACATGGTTTTGCTCATGAATGAAATAATGCACATTTTTGACTGCAAAACAAAAAGGAAAGAAATAAAAGAAAGTTGAAGTGTGTAATTTCTGTAACACGTGTTTTTGTCTGCCATTGGTCAGAAAAAACATAGACCAGCCCTCAAATTAACACAATTGGTTGAGCCAATGTTGCTGTTTAAGAGTAATGTTTTGATAGACCCACAGAGACATGGTATTTGCACTTTTGGGGGAAATCAACCTACAAGTTGTCTCTGCATATTAAACTCTATTATCTATTATCATTTAAAAAATACACACTTCAGCTTTAAGCACAATTCAACAAAACCAAATATTTAGACACAAACGTTTGTATTTAAATAAAAACAAAATATAATACAATGATTTAAAAGAAACTGACAAAACAATACATGAATAAAAAAATATATATATATATATATATATTTGGTGTGTATATATATGACTGTGTGGGTAATGCAAAATTGAATGCTCAAGAAAACATATTGTTATTATACAGAACAAAGGCTGGGCATGCAGGAAAGTTACATCAGACTTCCACTGTTCAACCAAAATATAAGTGACCAGTGCATTTGTAAATGGAAATGTTTCTGGGCTTTATATTAAGTCAATTTTCTTGTCATGCAAATTCCTCTGTCATAGATGATCAACATTTAAATAATAATTTGTTTGAATACATTTGTTACAGTATTTATTAATCTTTGTTAATATTAGTAAATAAAAATACAGCTGTTCATTGTTTGTTCATATTAGTTCACAGTGCATTAACTATTTTAATAATGTATTATTAAATGTTGAAATTAATATTAATAACTAAGATTTATAAATGCTTTTTATAAAGTAACAATACTAAACTTAGTTCAAAGTGTTACCAAAAAATCTTTAAGCCCAAATGCAAATATATAAAGCCCAATCTATTTCATAAAATAATGGCAGACCTTTCCTCAACAAGTTGCTTGATTTGATCATCATGCCTTTAATGTAAACAACGTGAGTTATGTGCTAAAGTTTGCTGTATGATTTATGATAATTATGATAATACTTTATTTGTTCCCTAAAGGGAAATTTGTTCTTGGCACACATTTGAAGCTGCGTAACAAGATGACACATTAATAACAATCACATACAGTAGTCATATCATTCACACTAAAATTCAATGTATGATGAATATAACACATGATGATGATGAACACAATGTTAAATCATTAAGTCAAACTTGCTTAAGCAAAAAGCTGTAAAGTATTTTTACCTGGTAATTGGCCAGCCCCTCAGTTTTGCACTAAGGATAGAAAGCATGCAAGAAGGAAGGAACAAACAGGCATTTTAACAGGAGAAGTGCAGAATGAAACAGAAGGACTCAGTGTAGTAAAGGAGATGGTACACCAGGAAAATGCGCTGACACAACATGAATGCTTTGTCAGTTACCCATAGATAGATACACAATAAAGGAGTGCATGGTAAGGTTAATGTTTGGAGATCTAATTAGTTGTAAGGACTAAGAGGGTTAGCACCAACATCACAAGGAGCTGAGAACCTACAATGTGTGTGATACCTTTAGGAATAAGAAAACACAGCTGCACCCTCTCATTCATAAATCATATGATAAACCCCACTCCCCCAACTCACACATCAATATGCAAGAACATAGCTATAGTCAATATTTCCCACATTTCTAGACCTGCCCCAGTTGTAACACCAAGCATCTGGTTTGTGTTTGCTCAAGTGCGTGGGACAGGAACACATAAGTATGTAGTGTACATACTTATATAAGATTCTTGTGACCCTCACCGTCTTGTGACAGCACTACAGTTACTTGGCTGCATTATTAGAGAAATAAAACGAATCATGTACAGTTTTACCAGTAGTGTTACCACATCTTTTGATCAGTGAATTTCAATTTTACATATACAAAAATGGCATTTCAGAAATATATATTCATTTTATCCACTATATAAATTTTAGTTGTTATTATTTTTATTTCATTAGTTTCCAAGACTTTTTCAGGCATGGAACTCACCATTTTAAAACTCCCTTATATTTTGAGATAAACCATGACCTTGGGGAGCCCAGTAAGGTGAGATCCCAGACAAAATTGTTATTGCTCAAAGTTTGCTCTTTTATAGCTAAGAATATTTAGCGGATTTGTCATTTAAGTATCAAATTATCTTTGTCTATTCCTATTGGAGGCAAAAAAAAAAAAAAAAAAAAACTGATTGCAGACTTTGCTATCTTGGCAAAGTTGTAAGGACTAAGAGGGTTAGCACCAACATCATAAGGAGCTGAGAACCTACAATGTGTGTGATACCTTTAGGAATAAGAAAACACAGCTGCACCCTCTCATTCATAAATCATATGATAAACCCCACTCCCCCAACTCACACATCAATATGCAAGAACATAGCTATAGTCAATATTCCCCACATTTCTAGACCTGCCCCAGTTGTAACACCAAGCATCTGGTTTGTGTTTGCTCAAGTGCGTGGGACAGGAACACATAAGTATGTAGTGTACATACTTATATAAGATTCTTGTGACCCTCACAGTCTTGTGACAGCACTACAGTTACTTGGCTGCATTATTAGAGAAATAAATGTATACAACGAATCATGAACAGTTTTACCAGTAGTGTTACCACATCTTTTGATCAGTGAATTTCAATTTTACATATACAAAAATGGCATTTCAGAAATATATATTCATTTTATCCACTATATAAATTTTAGTTGTTATTATTTTTATTTCATTAGTTTCCAAGACTTTTTCAGGCATGGAACTCACCATTTTAAAACTCCCTTATATTTTGAGATAAACCATGACCTTGGGGAGCCCAGTAAGGTGAGATCCCAGACAAAATTGTTATTGCTCAAAGTTTGCTCTTTTATAGCTAAGAATGTTTAGCGAATTTGTCATTAAAGTATCAAATTATCTTTGTCTTTCCTATTTTTCCTATTGGAGGCAAAACAAACAAACTGATTGGAGACTTTGCTATCTTGGCAAATCTGAGACATTAGGGAGTTCTCCTACAGTAATGGCTCTCTATTTAATCTCATTGAATTATAAGAAAAACAAATTTTCCTCCTTAAAGGTCCCCTGACATGAAATTTTCACTTTCTGAGGTTTTTTAACATTAATATGAGTTCCCCTAGCCTATATGGTCTCCCAGTGGCTAGAAATTTCAATCGGTGTAAACCGAGCTTTGGCTATCTTTCTCTGCCTTTGAGAAAATGAAAGCTCAGAGGAGCTGATCTTGAATCTCCTCCGTATGACGTCATACGGAGGAAAGATAACCTCCTTTTTCTCTGCTTTGCCCGAGAATTTGGCTCGCCCATGAGAAAATGAGCTAGGAAGTACGAACATGCGAGCGCGATTTGAGTTTTTCCTCGAGAGATATCATGGCTTGCAAACGAGCGAACCATGGCAGTTGATCAGTGTTCGGATGTACAAATGAACACAAAAGTATTTTTTAGTTCCTTCATCCGACTGATCCGAGCCTCTGAAGAAACAATGGGTTAATTAAATTTTTTCTGGAAATGCGCCGACACAACTTCCCAAAGTTTTGTATGGTCCAAACATTTCACCGACGACTGTTTCCTCAACTTGGGCCAATACAGAGCTGGCCTCGATGAACGTCTGAAAATAAATCGATCGAGCTACCAAGCATCAATTTCTGATGTGTAGCCTAATTGTTCAAGTTCAGACAGGTACTCTTTCTCTCAAAATCGTTCAATACTGTTCATGCATAAGTCAAGCCAGTGACTAAAATATCAACTTCACACCGTTTCTTTTAGTAGGATGAAAATAATCTTATTTAAATTGTGAACAAATTATACAGAAAGCGATCAAAGAACAATCTTTCCACACAGCGCAAGTTTATCTGGACAACTCGTTATAAAATCAATGACGCACGTTACACTGCACAACGAAGTTCTTACTGTATGTACATCATCGTGTTTGCATTGGTGAAAGCATTAGAGAGAGTGCAGAAACTGCGTTGCAAAGATAAGATCTTCATTCTCGCGATCAACACACAGTCATCTGCTTGCTCAATGCTCATCACGGCAACATTTTATGTGATGGGAATTGATCTAAATACTTTAAAAACTTCTCACAATTCGTTAATCTCGATAGCTGTAATAGTAAAAACTTATAATAGCTGTAGTAAAAGTATTCAAGAGAGTTTCATATGTAATACATAGCTATTTCATATGCAAGCATGTCAGCCAATCACAGCAGTGGCCGGTTACACTACATCCCACAGCAGACACGCCCCTTTAAACAGAGCGTTCAAATCAGAGGCTAAAATCAGGCTAGGAAAAATGCCTTTTATTTCTAAATTATGACTATTTTTGATCTAAAAAACATACTAACATTATAAGGGCAACCCAGGAAACATTATAACATAATAAAATAACCCCATGTCAGGGGACCTTTAAAGGGATAGTTCACCTAAAAATTTAAATTAGCCTATGATTTACTCTCCCTCGTGTCATCCTAGGTATTTATGACATTCTTTTTTCAGACTAATACAATCGGAGTTCTATTAAAAAATGTCCTGGCTCTTCCAAACTTTATAATGGCAGTAAATTGCTGTTTCTGTTTTTAAGTCCATAAAAGGGCATCTATCTATAATAAAAGTGCTCCACATGGCTCCGCAGGGTTAATAAAGGCCTGCTGAAGTGAAGCCAAACAGCCATACGCAGTCTACTTGCACCTAATGCGCGCAACTTGTGACGTCGGAAGTAGCGTGGTGCATCATGGCGTAGCGTAAATATCAGCAGTATGTCGCATTACTTGCATAAGTTGCGCTTAGACTTAAGTGGAATCCGTACTATATGTTCGTTCGGCCGGAAGCTAGTTATCTTACTTTATAAAGTTTTAAATATTGATATTTTTTATACACAAACTGATCGCTTCACTTCAGAAGGCCTTTATTAGCCCCTCTGAGCCGTGTGGAGCACTTTTATGATGGATAGATGCACTTTTATGGACTTAAAAACAGAAACAGCAATTCACTACCATTATAAAGCTTTGAAGATCCAGGACATTTTTTAATATAACTCTGATTGTATTCGTCTGAAAGAAGAAAGTCATATACACCTTGGATGACTTGAGGGTGAGTAAATCATGGGCTAATTTTATTTTTATTTTTGGGTGAACTATCCCTTTAAGGAATTCTATGTTGTTATCAGGTCAAAAAGCTAATGAGGTTTTACGAAGGGAATTACGGATCACATATCACAGTAATTAATGCCAATGTTGGCAAAACCGTGCTCCACAATCATTTCACAAATCAATTACTTCAAAATCACAAAGAAACATTGATGTATGCCTTTTTGTGTCAGTTTTGACCCCACTGTCTTGCCTGCAAATCTGGTTTTAGGATATTTAAGGACACATAAACTTAAAGGAAATGGTGGGCAAAAGCACAATAAAACAATATCCAACAGTAATTCTTAAAATACTGTGATAGGTTCTCATTGATGACATTGCACAGTGGAGATGAGCCTTCAATGAGATCCACACCACCTGCAAGGTCTTTGGAGGGTATTTGTTGGGTTCCATCACAACCTACTGAAATCTATATTACTGAGGCACTGGGACATTCTAAAACTGAAGATCCATCTAACTGTGTAGACCTTACCAGCAAAAAACAATGGGGATTTACTGCGGATCTCCTCCATTTTCTGGGCAAACAGAGCATTCATCTCACGCTGCAGTGTCCCCGCGGCCCGTTTCCGGTTCTCCATTCCCCGTGGTGGAAAGAGGGTGGGTAGATCAAGGCTGGTCAAACTGTCAAAGCTGCTAGAGTCACTGTCAGACAATCTCTTTACGTCATTAACAGATCTAGTCTTGCTGTAGTTGCTGCCATAGTTGGGTGGGGCAGGGCATTGCCGACAAAGGCTAGTTTTGTCGTCTGGAATTGGAGGAGGTGGGGTGCATGGGGACTGAAAGAATCGACGTGGAACGCTACATGAGCGAGCATTTCGGACAGTTAGGTCTTCAGTGGGGTGAAGGGGTTGTGCAGCCAATGTTTGCCGGAGCTTTGCCCTTGATCTAGGTAAGGGTACAGGCTTCGGTAGAGCATGGGGGTCTGATTTGGGCTTTGAGTCAGTTTGGGCCAAGGCTTGTGGTTTGAGTATGGGTTCTGGCTGAACTTGTCTGGAAGCTGTTGGAGACCGAGATGCCCTTTCAGGTCTAATGGGAGCAGGAGTGCATTGGATGAAGGTGCTTGTATCCTTCCTCTCCAATTCAGGACTCTCCTTGGAACCAATTACACACTTAATGCAATTGGAAGTCATCCCAACCCGCCCGTAGCTGTTGATAGCAACACGTGCAAACACACCCGGCTTCTCATCCAGTGGATCCTGGAGTCGCAACTTGTTGGCTCGCTTCAGAGGTTCGCTCACTGCACCCCTGTTTCTGTAAGGTGTAGCACGGGGCTCAGGATAAAAGAAAGTACTCTTACCTTTACTGTCGTCAGGGTGAAGCTGCCCGTTGGTGCCATGACCCCATGATTTGCCAGATGCGCTATCTCCATTGTGGTGGACAAGTGGCCCCTCTTCCGATTCTCGCTCTTCACTGGCACCCTCCGAGCTGCAATCTTTTGTGTCAATGGAGATATCAGGAAAGCCCCTCTTGACTTTGGGTTGGCCCTTGGTGGGGGCACTGGCTGTGCGGCGCAGGAGGTGAGCACCGAAGGTAGTCTTACGTTTGAGCAGAGCAGCAGCATGGCTGTCGAGAGACGACTGCTTTGGGTTTCTGTGAAACAGTCCTTTTATACCACTGACTGCTCGAACCTGCAATGGGAAATCAGAAAGTGGGTAGGCAATATGAATCTAATAGATGACTTATGGAATCATCTAAACACTATAACAAATAACTAGGCTGTCACTGAATTGTTTACAATTTAAAACATATGGGGAGCTACTCTTTTATTCCCGTTCACAATTAATAATAAGTCTTCAAACTTATTAACCAAACAAAATATGTGTACCAAACCACTTTTGACTTCTGCCCAGCTGGGAAAATAGCTTAAACCAGTTTAAGGCTGTTTGCTGGTCCTTAGGTGGCCACCCAGCCAAGCCAACCCTGACCAGCTGGCAAGTTCCTTCTAAAGCCATCAAATCAGACCAGTCTGACAAGTAGAAATGAGGGCTGCATTTCCAAATGCATCAAAAGGCAATGACTTATTTGATCTACTTTGTCTTATGACGCAGCCGAGATTGGTGGCCAACTAATCATATTGGGTTGGTTTAAGCTTTTTACAGCATAGAATAGAGACACAAAAACATAACAAAACACTTTGTTTTCTTACCTGCTACATGATCAACATCATTTGATTAGTTTTGTTAGTTTAAGAAACATGCTCATTTACCAAGATTTATACACAAATTGTCAGTTAAATTCTGTTATAATATAATGCAACAACTTCCTGTATTAAATGTGTTACCTTTAGAAAGCAGTGACATTTTAAATAACAAATGTTATCAGAGATGTAGCAGAATTTAGAATCATCAGACAAATGTGGGTGATCAACACAGACCTTTAAACACGAAGATGCAGACAATGTTGGGAAATTGTAGTGGTAACGTTAATAACTGAGAAATGTGAATAAATGTCAAGTGAAAGGTGACAGGACATTTATGTCCAATCATCTCTGATGAAAAAAAATGACACTGGATTATCTCTTAAAACAATGTAGGTGATGCCTAGCTTGTTTGGAATAGAAAAGCAAGGTATTGAAATGTTTATTACATTATGTTAATAATTACAGAGATATTTAAATAATATTTTTTTCTCAAAATAAACAGCCATTTCTCTGCATAACACCCAGTGTCATTTCATGAACCGTGTTCAAGTAGATCCATGTGAGAGTTCAGCCATCTGATCTCCTCACTAATGATGCATCAAATAACTTCATGCATTTGTTAGTAAATGTAGTGCATTTATGCTAATCCACACAGTTACGACAGCTAGCTTTTGAGAACATACGATATTTTTTGACTAAAAAAAGGATGTAAAAAAGTACCTGCTAAATTCCAGCTCTCATAGTAGACCCTCATAGTCATGGATAGGAATAGAGAATATGTAACGCACTTCACAAACCAAGATCAACGCATTTCTCTCATGGACTCTACTGCTTGAGAGCTCTATTACTGCGAACAAGCCATCCAAAGCCCTATCATTGCCCTTAAATGCCCTGAGTTAAGTGAAATAGGAGTGAACGCTGTCGCCTGCTATATGGACATGGACACTGGATCTGCTTTAGGGGTCAATGAGAATGCAGCCAAGGAAGGAAGTCACATTGACATTATGTCACAACTCATTTTGCATGAGTTGGCATGGTGAAAGCTAGCAAATGAATCAGGGCTTAACCGCTCACTGGGGGGAACGGGAGGGGTTTGCAAGGAGCATGCAGGGTGCTGATTGGGTCTCACTACACCTGAGTTTTGAACGAGGATCCTAATAATTTCCTGCCTCTATAGACAGCTAAGATGGGTGCACTGAAATCACAAACATAAGAGAAAGAGAAGTAAGAAAGAGAGAAAGAGAGAGAGAGGGGAAAAAACAGACAAACTACACAAAGAACATTTGTTGTTGACGCCGAATGTTAAAGGGACAAATTATGGACAAAAGCATGGCATAAGTAAGCAGTGAGCATGTTTACAACATCACGTGTCACTTTGTATGAATAAGGTACAAACTTTCTCATTACTTTTTATAGCATTAGAGGTGCAAATATAGATATATTTGATAAATCTAACATAAAATGAACCTATAGCATGAAAAATAGGTAGTAGATACAGGTCTGTATCACTCCCATTTAAATGGTTATTAACAATTATTATGGTAATTAACAATTAAAATAGCTGTAGTGTTGCCTGCTTTAATTAAGACAACTATTGAACCCAGTTACCAAGCTGACTTATTAAGAAAACAATATTTAATTGGAAAACAATTTATTGGAAAAACACACGCATATCGGAATGGGTAACAGGATTGCAGATTCAGACTGCTGGTATCACTGCTGATATCAGTCAGTAGGAGCTAGCTGTCATGATTCCTATCATGTATTCCCCTGGTCTTGTATGGACTTTTATGTTATTTCCTGTTTTGTGCCATGTTTTGTAGTCCTTTGTAGTTTTCATTGTTCATTAGTTCTTTGATTGTTCCTAGGTGTGTCTTTTTGCCAATCACCCCTTGTGTATGTATACCATATATACCACTGGGGGTTCCTCATGTTCCTTGTCTTGTGTTGTCCTTCTATGGATCTTACGTCTATGCGTGCTTGTTGTCAGTTTTGTTTGCCTTCCTTGCCTGAGTCTGTATTTATCAGTTTTGCCTGAATTTACTTTTGTTATGTTTGTTTGAATAAATGTTTGCTGCATTTGGATCCTACACCTGTTCCTCTGCCACCATTACAAATTATCTGAGACGCTCAGCTTGATCATGCCCCTATGGGATCCTAGTTGGACTCTAGGATTTTATATCAACCTGGCATTGCTGCTGAATGGGTCTGCTTTTACTGTGGGTAGTGTGAGTGACAGGTACATCATGAATATCACATTCATCCTCCACGACACCCACAGTAAAAGCAGACTCACTCAAAACTGAAGTGAGTTTTGAGTGAGTCTCAAAACTCACAAGACCAGGGGAATACAAGACAGGAATCATGACACTAGATATAGGTCTCTCTCTCTCTCTCTCTCTCTCTCTCTCTCTCTCTCTCTCTCTCTCTCTCTCTCTCTCTCTCTCTCTCTCTCTCTCTCTCTCTCTCTCTATATATATATATATATATATATATATATAAAGCTAGCTCCTACTATATATATTACTATATATATTTATAGCTAGCTCCTACTTACTGATATCATATATTTATTATATTTTTTTATAACTTTTGCCTATTTAATGTTTATGGTGTTTGTTTAATATGCATTGCTAGAAAGTAGTAAAATCACATAAATCAGGATTTTCATCTGATTATCATCATCAATTTGGGTTACGGAGTTGCAAACAACATATAATATTTATTTTGACTTCATGAGGTTGATAATCTATATTTTGTGAAATCCTTTCACTGATCATTTGTTACTTTGTTTTTTTAAAGAGTTTCAGGTCCTGTTTTGTATTATATAGATGTTATAAATATATAAATATATAAAAATACTTTGATAAAAATAGTGTTTTAAATGAGTAGGTTAAGTAATTGTTTTTGATGGAGTATAGTCGTCTACGATACCATTTAGCTATGTTAAGAACCTACTGTGACAATCTTCAACAAATTATTAAAATGGCATATTTACTGTAAATGTGCAATGCCTAATGACCAGAATAAATATTAGAAAGTTAGAGACTTTTTTTTCCACAGTCTTTTAACACATTATCAGAACACAGTCTTTTTAAATTGCAGATTAACAATGCCAGATATGGCCCTTGGCACACAACAGCACCAAAATATTTGTTCTGTTAACCACATGAGGTGCCCACCTTACTGGTGATGTCATTCACTGCAACATGAACAAAGATGGAAGCTTCCTCCATGCCTTCCAAATACACATGCCGGTAACCTGACAATCAAATATAGACAGATAATCAGGCATAAGCAGTACACTTTAATTAATGATGGACTCAATACTTGACAAAAATATATATGCCAAAGACTAATGCATTTATATATATATATATATACACTCACCGGCCACTTTATTAGGTACACCTGTCCAACTGCTCGTTAACACTTAATTTCTAAGCAGCCAATCACATGGCGGCAACTCAGTGCATTTAGGCATGTAGACATGGTCAAGACAATCTCCTGCAGTTCAAACCAAGCATCAGTATGGGGAAGAAAGTTGATTTGAGTGACTTTGAACGTGGCATGATTGTTGGTGCCAGAAGGGCTGGTCTGAGTATTTCAGAAACTGCTAATCTACTGGGATTTTCACGCACAACCATCTCTAGGGTTTACAGAGAATGGTCCGAAAAAGAAAAAAACATCCAGTGAGCGGCAGTTCTGTGGGCGGAAATGCCTTGTTGATGCCAGAGGTCAGAGGAGAATGGCCAGACTGGTTCGAGCTGATAAAAGGGCAACAGTGACTGAAATAACCACTCGTTACAACCGAGGTATGCAGCAAAGCATTTGTGAAGCCACAACACGCACAACCTTGAGGCGGATGGGCTACAACAGCAGAAGACTCCACCGGGTACCACTCATCTCCACTACAAATAGGAAAAAGAGGCTACAATTTGCAAGAGCTCATCAAAATTTAACAGTTGAAGACTGGAAAAATGTTGCCTGGTCTGATGAGTCTCGATTTCTGTTGAGACATTCAGATGTTAGAGTCAGAATTTGGCGTAAACAGAATGAGAACATGGAACCATCATGCCTTGTTACCACTGTGCAGGCTGGTGGTGGTGGTGTAATGGTGTGGGGGATGTTTTCCTGGCACACTTTAGGCCCCTTAGTGCCAATTGGGCATCGTTTAAATGCCACGGCCTACCTGAGCATTGTTTCTGACCATGTCTATCCCTTTATGGCCACCATGTACCCATCCTCTGATGGCTACTTCCACCATGTCACAAAGCTCTAATCATTTCAAATTGGTTTCTTGAACATGACAATGAGTTCACTGTACTAAAATGGCCTCCACAGTCACCAGATCTCAACCCAATAGAGCATCTTTGGGATGTGGTGGAACGGGAGATTCGCATCATGGATGTGCAGCCGACAAATCTGCGGCAACTGTGTGATGCCATCATGTCAATATGGACCAAACTCCCTGAGGAATGCTTCCAGCACCTTGTTGAATCTATGCCACGAAGAATTGAGGCAGTTCTGAAGGCAAAAGGGGGTCCAACCCGTTACTAGCATGGGGTACCTAATAAAGTGGCCGGTGAGTGTATATATATATATTTAAAATTCAATTGGTACCTGGAATCATGCTGTTAAAGGCGATGGTCCTCTGGCCAATAAAATCTTGGCCAATCGGGTCATGATCCCAAACCAGAAAGCGTATAAGAGCAATCTCTGACATGTGAAGAGTGAAGACGAGTGTCTCCTCCCACATAGGATTAAATCCTGAGAGAGAAAGATAGAGGATGGGGTATTAGAATTAAATAGGATTATTTTATGCAGAAATAATGGAAAGGATGAGAGGATAATTCACATTCACCTACCTTTTTCACTCAAACAATTACCTGCTTGACATTCCCAAACCAGACAAAATAGGCCACTTAACTGAAATCGCTTTCCTCAGAGTGGCTGAATAACTTAAACTTGCAAGAGTACCGTTACACTCAAATGGTATTGTCATGGACTTGTCCATTGTTTTTAACACAGTTAATCAACAGATATAGAGTCCTTCTTAGACAAAAAGCTCTAACATAGATCATTTTCAATATCCTGTACCCTATAGATAGAGTCTGAGGTCCCACATGGCTCTATTCTTGGGCCAATGTTGTTCTCTTTTTTACCTGGTGTCATTATGAAAAACAACCCAGACAAGAGTGAGCAGTTAATCAACAATCCCTTCCAAAATGATGGCCCTTCATGACACTTTGAGTTCCATAACATAAAGAAAATCAGCCCATTGCCAAATCTCAATTGCACACAGACACCCCGAGAAGGTTATCTCTTTACAAGATTGCATCTACATATCCGAGAAGGTTATCTCTTTACAAGATTGCATCTACATATCCCTTAATAGTCTGCATTTGACAACATCCAAAATGCTGTCAAGTTCCAATTTCCAAATGATGCTATACACCACCACTAAATCAAACTTCCACTTTTCAAATAACACTTAATGACACTTCAAATCTCAGTCAGTTTATTTTTTTTAACTTTAATTATCTCAGTACCGCTTTATATGCACCTGTGAATCACAGTGAATCAGAAAATAAATGCAAATGCAAATGTAAATCGAATTGTTTGGTTGCCGAGTGATGTAGTTTGAGGTGAGATCTAGTACAAGTATCATGCATAAATATACTGCACCTCTTCCAAACAAAGACACATACAAATGAACACTCCAAGTAATGGCCTCACGGTTTAATGACACTTTACTGACCAATCCCCCAACAATTAAAGGTTAAATGTGTTGTTTGTGTGTATAATATAGAATATGTCATGGGATATTGCTCTCTCACCGTTGTCATCAACCACTCTGGTTTGCTCTTTGCAGCAATCCACTGGTAGACCAATAATCTCCACTTCCACAAATGGATCAATTATCTAAAGAAGAAGCATTTAAAAAAGATTTAAAACAACCCAAAATCAAACTATGCAACTATTGTTATTTGTTACAGTACCTGTTTAAACATCTCAAGATAATATTCCTCAAAACTTCTAAGGGACACATATTTGCTTCATACCTGTGTCATTTGTAGGTAGTGATTTGCACATAAATACAGAGTTTAAGCATACTGTAGGCTATTACCTTGTCTTTATGGTGATTTGCTATGGTCTAATGATTGTATAATTTTTAGGGAATGATTACATGCTGTGAGAAGGCCTGATTACATGCAGGCTAACAGACTGCATTTTCTTCCTTAATAAATGAAACTAGTTATCAGTGCACATTATTCCTGAAAATGTTTTTGGATATCATAGCTTTTGTTTCGCAATCCCTTCAAATCCTGATGCATAGAAGGCATTATTCCTCACTGAATATTCCGTTTCACTCTTCACATTATGGAAGTTAAATGCATTGTAACAAATCATAAATATTTCTATGGTGTGTATGAATTGCAGGGGTAAATCAAAGGCATTTGAATCAGCAACGGTCCAATCTGTAATGCTCATAATGAGTGAACTTTAAGCAATCTGATGAATGTTATAAGGCCAATTCACACTGCAACAGACACTTCGTCGGGGTTATTTTCCGGGTCAGTGTGATACCTCTGTCGGTGTCTGTCGAAGCTTGTTATTGCAGATTGAACATGCTGATTCGGCCATTTGACGGGTCACGGAACGTCTGAGAAGTGACGTACTGCAATCTGTGGCTTGTCCACGTTGGTCTGTGACTGTCAGTGCAGTGTGAATTGGCCTTTATATTTCACTTCTTTTGTGTGCTTAAAATGTGTGCTAAACTTTAGATCTGAAGCTTATAGGTTGCATAATTCAGAATTTTTCAGGATAAGCAACATGTTGTGTTGCTTGCTTGCAATGCAGTAGAGTAGATGGGGTTGAGATTGTGGTTGAATTCACTATTGCTTTTATAGGCCGGTCTGAACAGCAGGCTCAGTGAAATCCCACGAAACAGCATAAACTCGCAGTGAGAGACAGCTTCATGCTGCTTGCTTTCTTTAAACAACTTCAATAAGATGTTTGTTGTTCATGCTAAGAGGGCCATTTGAAGTTGACTATTTAAGCACTGTCATGATTTACCTCTCCTCGGTCACCCAGCATGGAGTCTTTGGGTTTGGGTAATTGCTGGCCACTGATGACCTTAAGAACCAATTGTTTTTTCAACCGACCTGGTAAAGGATCCTCGGCCATCGGATTAAAAGAACCTGCAACCAAACATTCCATATTTAAAATTCCATATCTCAGAACATCAACAACTCTATTGAGAAATAGATTCCTAGTTTGGCTTGCTTACTTAGCTTTGAATAGCTAACCTTAACTTTGACTTGGTCTATGGAATGATCAACTGATCTATTGAATATTGTTCATTGAGTCAATGGAGTTCATTGTTGTCCATTGTTGCCTCTATTGGACATATGTTTCTTGTTCATTTCTTTAATAAATGGCATTATTTTGTTTATATAACAATAAATGTAATTTGTTGACATTAACTTTGTATTATATTGATTTTGTGATTAATATAATAGTAAAATCTGAATGGAATATTCCTGAATGGAATATACAGTCAAACCAAAATTCATTCAGACACCTTCAACATTTCTCACATAATCACAGTTTATTCGCTATAGTTTAGAAAATGGTAATACAATATTTCACTGGTTTTGGCCATCCTTCTGTTAGACGGTCTCACAAATGAATTCGGTTGAATAGCTGACAGCTGTTAAATTTAAGTTCACAATTAGATAATACCAATTTAGGTCAACCAACTACCAAGCAATGCTTAATTTTGTTCAGTCTGTGGTGTAAATAGGTCACATTAGCAATTAAAGACAAAACATGGTCAGGTCAAAGTGTCTGAATAATTTTTGGTCACAAATTTTTATAATTTTTACTGGTAGTCCACCGTATGTAGAAATGTTGTGTATAATATGTCACAGTTTACTTTATTTTGCTATCCTCACTTACATAAATGAACTATAGTGTCCTGCACCTAGTAGTAAACAAATATCAAAAATTATATCTGATGTCTGAATAATTTTTGGTTTGACTGTATAATATATAATGAAAAAAAAAAAAAATTACAATGCAGCTACACTATAGTGAAATATAACAAAATCAGGAAGATATTATACACATATAGACATACACAATACAACTGACTTAAAACTATCAACCTAGGAATGCAGAAACTCACCTTCACACATGCAGGCAGGTTTCTGGATGTAACCACAGTTGCCGTTGCAATTAAACTTGGCTCTGTTGAGTTGTAGCACTCTGCCCTCTGACTGGTAGTTCAAAGCAACTGCAAGAAAAAAAAGAAGTGACAATTACGGTTATATTTACTAGCATATCTGTGGTGTAGGGCCATTCCAGCAATTAAAATTAAAATAAAAATGTACCTTTTTTATTATAAATAATTCCTGTAAATCTAGTTGTGTCTTTAAAGAATTGAACCATTGTCGTATTAAATTTAAATGCTGCAATTGAATAATGAGCAGCAGGTTCCCAGTATGTTTAGGCATACGGTTTATTCTTGGTCTCTCCAATAAACATAAATATTTGTTTGTGGGTGGACTGGCGTACCCAGATGGCAGCCAGCGTTCCAGAAGGGCTGTGGGTTGAAGTTGCTGGAGTCCACGCGATAAGGGGAGGGGTAGATGCGGGAGAGCTGGCGCTGGTTGAATCGGACGAACTGCACTGGCTTCTGCTGCATTAACTGATGGGCCTTGGTCTCGCTCATCGACGACACCTGCCAACTGCAGCTGCTCACTGCAGAGCAAACCACATGCATGAGGTGCTGGCATATAAACACTGGACTACACCCATCTGAACAACTGGAGCAATTTGGAGGATGAGTGCTACTTAAAAATAATGAAGTAATCAAATATCAGTCAATTATAAAATCACAAATACAAAAAATAAACAGACATATTTACCAAGTGTTTTTTCTTACTCCATTTTAAAAATGAGTTACAAATTGCACAGCTGATCACATGAGTTTTTTGATAAAAATATAATACAAAGATTGTTGGAGTACTTTTTACTATTTTAAAAATAGAAATAATACTACTAAAATATTATATGTCTTTCCACTTTAATATTTCATGTTTAATTAAATGTAATGTTTTTTTTTTGTTTTTTTTTGCTGTTTCTTTGTAATTATTTGTTAAATCTACTAGACATTTCTGAATGAAAATTGTTTCAAAGTAAATCCTTCACCATTTTTTTTATTCAGTGTAATTTCTATGTGTAATGAACTTTAAACTGAATTTTAATATAACCTTAAAGGATTAGTTTACTTCAGAATTAAACATTTTCTGATAATTTACTCATCCCCACGTCATCCAATGTTGATGTCTTTCTTTCTTCTGCCGAAAAGAAATGAAGGTTTTTGAGGAAAACAATTCAGGATTTTTCTCCATATAGTGGACTTCAACGGTTTGAAGGTCCAGATTGCAGTTTCAATGCAGCTTCAAAGGCTCTACTCGATCCCAGCTGAGGAATAAGGGTCTTATCTAGAGAAACGATCGGTCATATATAAAATAAAAAAAAGCAACCTTTTACCCACAATTGCTTGTCTTGCACTAGCTCTACGATGCGCCACGCATTACATTGAAAGGTCACGCGTGTTCCGGTTAAAAAATGTAGGGTAGGGCAAAAAATCTCATTTTCTCCTCCAACTTCAAAATCATCTGACATCGTTGCTATACCTTTTATTTATTTATTTTGTAAAGGGCGTTAGACTTAGTCTTTGCACGTTTGGTTTGTAAGCACTAGGTCGGTACTTCCGCCTACATCACGCTTGACCTTTCAACCTGATTACGTAATGCGTGGCCCATCGCAGAGCTAGTGGAAGACGAGCATTTGTGGTTAAAAAGTATTTAAATTTTTTTTTAGAAAATGACTGATCGTTTCGCTATTTAAGACCCTTATTCCTCGGCTGGGATCATGTAGTGATTTTAAAGCTGCATTGAAACTGCAATCTGGACCTTCAAAGTGTTGATAACCGTTGAAGTCCACTATATGGAGAAAAATCCTGGAATGTTTTCCTCAAAAACCTTAATTTCTTATCGACTGAAGAAAGAAAAACACGAACATCTTGGATGACGTGGGGGTGAGTAAATTATCAGGAAATTTTAATTCTGAAGTGAACTAATTCTTTAATAAAATAAACATTTCTGATGGATTTCGATTGGTTAAGTGTTCAATGTAGTATCACTCTAGAGCCTAAATAAAGGATATATTTTTCATCAACCTTGTAATACTGAATCTCACAGGTAGTGTTCGGTGTGCAAATGTTAAGAGATTTTCACATATATTTTCTGTTCTTCTCACCTTGTGCCTCAAAGTCTGGTATGCCGACAGATTTTGTGTATACCAGATCAGAAAGTGCTCTTGACAACTTCATGGTTTTTTTCTTTCTGTTAAAACAGATTACAGTTACAGTTGCATGAAGGTTGAAGCATATTCACACAAAATATTTAACTGACTATATATTGTATAAATTCGCACATGAGCAATTCTCATGGTACCTGCTGTGATGCGCTGGTGCTTTAGACGCGCCACTCGAGCTCTCCTGATCAGTGTCCGTATCCTCAAAACTGGAGGATTTTTTCAGTTTACTCGTCTTTTTCTACAGTGCACAAATGGAGTTGAGGTGATGCAGTGTTAATTAAGTCAATACGTAAGACATAGCCGAACACTATTGGAAAATAAACCTCGAATGGGTGATCAGGACTCACAAAGCATTTATTACACAGCTGAATCAAGTATTCCAGAGAGCTGCATACACACATTTTATTATTTCTATTAATCATTCATTCAGTATGAATAATTGATCTATGCCGCAGAGGATGTCTGTTTCAGTGTGTGCAGTGTGTTGTTATGGGAAGAAACATTGTTTTGTTGAATGTGGGTGCATTTGCGAAGTAATCTATAAGTACCTTGCGTTTGGAAAAGCTCCCCATGAAAGATTTAGACACACGTTTGTTGCCACCGACGTTGGCCTCATCTCCAGTGTCAGTGCTGTCTTCTGCTTTCCCCTGAGTTCAACATATAGATGCATAGCAGTGAAAATCTGGACAGTATACACTAAATATACCAAATATACATTATATGTATATACCATATCATGACAGTTAAACAGTGGGCAGTTACAGTAACAATAGATACACTTCTGCCGCGGATGGACAGAATGATCACTAGGTGGCGGTAGCAACCTATTCAAACAGGACTGTTCTCGCTCTTTCCAAATGGTTGATTGTGCTATAGACATACTCTCACACTAACAAAATAAATTTATCTCAGTGTCTATGAAAAACAAATAAGCTGCAAATAAGATATGATCATCCACATTTACACATAAACCCATTATTCAGTATTTAGAAAATTGGTCCACCTTGATGAATGACAGTGTGAACTAACTTTGCTACTTAGTTATAACATAGGTCATTTATATTTAAAGACTTAAAGTGTTTAAACAGACTGAGTGTCAGGGAGAGGGTATCGTGGGCCGCCAAGGACGGCGGTGTAGCAGTTCTGTGTAGTTGTCTTATTTAAATAGGCCTCAAGTAACTCCTTAAATAACCACACTATACACATCTGTACAAGGGCAGAACTAACCTAATTAGAGCACTCGCTGAACCGTTTAAATGAGTAAAAGGTAATAGATCTAACAACAGTATTTTGTCAGAAATTATGATTATAATAATATATATATATAATATATCGGAGACCGAGCTTTTGAGGTGGCTGGTCCCACATTCTGGAACAAGCTCCCACTTTATATTAGAACAACTTCCTCTCTATCTGAGTTCAAGTCCTGTCTTAAAACCTATCTATTTTCGGTCGCTTTTAGCTTAGAATGATCATGCTACTCTGAACTGCTTGTCATTATTTATGTCTCTAAATTGCATTAGTTTCTTTCTCTATGTGTACAGCACTTTGGTCGGCCAGTGGCCGTGTTTAAATGTGCTTTATAAATAAACTGAAACTGAATTATCATGGTCAATTATTTTAAAGATTACTTTTAAAAATGATCAGCTGCTTTACAGTATGTCATTTGGCTTTTAGGTTATAGTCTCTTTTCTTTTTTTCTCTTAATATTAAGTGTATAAATTGATGATTAATTCAATTGAAAAAAAAATCTGAGAAATGAATAACCAAACTACAATGATCCAGGTGCATTAAAATAGAATAGAAAATCGAACGTAATGCAACAAAAGTGAATAGTGTGAATTGGTTTGCACTGCCAAAAAAAATAAATAAAAATTCTTACTCAGTATTTTTGTCTTGTTTTCCAGTACAAATATAAAAAAAATCTTAAATAAAAGATCATTTTACTCGAGAAGCAAAATTAATAAAAATAAAAAAAAGGAATAAAATAAAATAAAATAAGAAAAAAATAAACTTCAAAAATACAAGATTATTTTTCTTACCTTACAGGCAGATATTTGTTATTATTTTAGACATAAACTCGCTTAATTTTGATTGTGTGACTACATTTTTTTGCTTCTCAAGTAAATGCATCTTGATTTAAAAATGTTAAGATATTTACTGGAAAACAAGTCAAAAATACTGAGTAAGAACGATTTTTTTTTTTTTTGCAGTGTGTAAATGTGGTAACATTTCCTCTCCATGAATGCAGTTTGGGTCAAGTACAGCATATTAACCTTCTGCGGTGATTTGTCATGTTTTCCCGTGGGCGGCAGGGCTGCCATGGTAAAGCTGTCTGGATCTTCCCGGTCACGAATCTTTGACTCCTTCATGAGGTTATCTAATTTTTTCTTTGCAACATTTTCCGCCTGCTTCCTGTTCATGGATGTCTGTAAAGGAGTAGACACAGAGAGAACTGAATTTGAATGGACCTCATGTGACGCCTTAAAATTAACATCTGCAACTTTCTACAGAGAACATCAAGGTCAAAACCATTCATCAAAATATCCAGGTCAGTTCAACATAATTCCTTGACCCAATTTTACACACAGAAAAATTCATGACAAATATTCACTTAAAAAAATGTCTGCTTTATTTTTACATTACGCCACTTAAAAGAGAGAGGAGCTTTCATCTAAAATGCATGAGCCTTTGAGGTTTCTCTAAGAGCCCTTTGCAAGCAGTACAATTGAAATGTGCTGCTAAAATAACATGCCAGACATAGAAGGACTTGAAGAATTGAGGATTAGGGTGTTTCTCATTGAAACTCTCAAGAATATGTCTAGGGGATATTATAACCCTAAATGAAACAATAATAATAAAACATTATATTTAGCATTTAGAAAATGAAGACTTATGACATTATTTCCATGATAAATAAACACATTAAATCTCTCCACCAACTGTTAGTAATAGTTATATAATGTTTATTATAATATGAAGTAAATATTACTATAGTATGAAAAAAAACATTTGTGAAGGACAATTATAAGAAAACATAACTATAGTTTTTGTAGTATTAGTATTTTAGTTAAAAAACAGAGTTCTTGAAGAAAGAAATATTTCATCAGAGTTCATAATACTAACATCTTATATTTATAAATGATATAGTATATTCTGTATATGAATGACCTACTACATATGCCAAAATACGCAGTGTTTATATAATATAACAGCGGACAGCATTGAATATTATATCCCACAATGCACTCGATTTGCCCTTTTATTTTCAGTGTGTTGAATGAACATTTGCTACTCTCTCATCGTTTGATCGGATTACTTAAAGTTAACACATTTTTTCCACTAAGTATAATTTAAAATACACCATATAATCATCTAACATTACTTACATCTCCATTCATCAGCTTGCAGTCGTCCTCCATCTCATCTGCACTGTCTTCATCAGACACATCCCCCTCCTCTGCGTTCTCATCTATATTTGCAGCCAGTTTCTTACCCTATGAAACATATAGAAAACATGTGAAATGTGTCCTGATTCATATTTAACACTAGTGCAGTATAAACACTTGCAGTCAGGGGAGGAGTTGAAAAAAGGAGCAGATAAGTCAGGCAATTTCTGCTTGCTTCCCGTAGGGATGCTTGCACTGTGTTTGCTTTCTTTATCGCAGATAAAGTGAATTAAATGCAACATTTTTCAAATAAACAGATGTTTCAGACATGTAGCAACAAAACTTAATTTAGGACTGCAGCTACTGCTTAAAGGGGTCATATAATGGTACATGCACTTTTACAAGTTGATTGTTCTGAAATGTGTGTTGGCAGTGCCTGTACACAACCATCATAAAATGATAAAAATCCATCCAGTGTTTTTGTTTTAATCTCCTTGTTTTCCCCTGCCTCAAATTGAGCCGTTCGATTTTGTGACGTCGCACGCTCGGAAGCCCCTCCCACGATTGTTGATTGACAGCAGCGTTTCAACACAGACCCGCCCTCGCTCATGAGCCAGCTGTCAATCATAGTCTGCGCGGCGCGGACCGGCGCGGTCATTGTTGATATGCTGGAGCACTGTCTATGAGCAGAATGGCGTCTAAGCGATTGTGGTGTTCTGTTCTTGGGTGTAATAACGAACACAGCAGTCATTTTAATGTTCCTAAATCCGAACCGCTGAAGACGCAGTGGCTGAGTTTGTTTTCGAAGGGAATATTCCCCACGAGCAACGTCAATGCTCTCATGTTTGCGCGAATCATTTCACACACCAGACTGCTTTATAAACGAGGGTCAGTATGAGCTGGTTTTGCTAAGAAGCTGCTCATGAAAAAAGGATCGGTACCAGCTATTCGTGTTCCGGCTGAACCTCTAGAACAACTGAAGTGAGTGTAACGTTTTATTAAACTTTATATTAATATTTATATTAATCTTTGGAAATCGCTAGCTGCACTCTTCACAATGAATGCGTCTAAGGTTTACACTCACGGTACATTACGGCATGTTTTCTATGTACGACGTTCTCAATATAATTCATAATCCCACGTTTATACTGAACAACGCGTTATGGTTATTGTGTTATTGTGTTACAAACGGTGTAGCACAGAACAGAGAGGCGGGGTGAGCAAAGCTCATTATCATTTAAAGTCATATGCACTGAAACGGCGTGCTGAAAACAGAGCTGTTTTTGACCAAGTAAAATAAGTGTTTTCTTACAATACTAATGAGAATTTGTAATTAAAGTATATTACAAACTTTTAATTTAGACCCTAAAGAATCATACTAGCTTGTACAAAAATGGCATTATATGACCCCTTTAATACAGAGGCTGTATGTACAACAATAACATAACCATTTACCAATAAAGTGGGATCTATATTTTGCATCAGTTTTATTTAGATAAACATGACTATAACATGAAAACAGATTTTCACTGGCGTGGCTTTGGCGCTGTCTGCATAATTTTAACTACCATGCATAGCTTTAAGTTAGACACTGATTAGCTGCACAAAGTCGAACACACATAGTATTTTTGTAATCCCTTTTTTTGACACTAATGTTGCAGAACAACATATGTGGCCTTTAAGAAATTAAACATGGCCCAAAATCGTGTTCCACACAGCTGTATGTTACACATCTTCTTTTTTTTTTAACCCTGATTGGCTGTTGTTTATTTTCAAACTGATTTTTTGTTTAAGTGCAGATAGAAAAATATTTTATTCAGGAAATGTTAGTGTAACGGAGGCAAGCTGGAAAGAGCTGTGCAAGTAAACCTCACTCTCCTGGCCTCAAGAGGCGCACTAGCGACTGACTCTAGAGGCTGCGGTCTTAAGCGTCTTTGTTAGCGCGCTCGCCTCCCATGCCAGATACGGCAGCTGGTATCAAGCTTGGAGCGTTGCGAGTAGAAATGAAGGGGTTACATTGGTGTCGTGACCCGGATGGGAGTGAGGTTTAGGGGGGCGAGTGTAACAGAGGCTAGCTAGTAAGAGCTGTGCGAGTATACCTCACTCCCCTGGCCCCAAGAGGCGAATTAGCGTCTGACTCTAGACGCTGTGGTCTTTAGCGTCCTTGTTAGCACGCTAGCCTTCCATGCCAGAAATGCTGATTTGAATCCCGCTCTGAGTGGTGCAAGTAGAACCAGAGTGATTACATTAGAATACAGTGTAAGGACACATTGGCAGTAATAGGAAGAGTTGGGGCCAGATATACAAAACAGGGCAAATTAGTGTGAGAGCGCAATTCCAAAAAAAAAACCCCAAAAAAATGCAGATGGGAATGGAAAGTTCTGCACGCGATCTACTGACGACAAATTAAAGAACACAGACGCAGCCGGATCATTTCCATAATGACCAACACAAGAGCAGCCCAAATTAGCGTCTGGTTTAAGACATGCTTCGGGCGGTGAATAATGGCGCAAAAAACAGTGACTAGCGCAAACCTTAGTATATCACCTTGCATGATACATTTAAAAACTCTCCACCCATAAATTTTGCGTCTGAATGGGAAACTCCTACAAATGCATATGCAAGAAGGTCAGCTGCGTGTGCCCACGCCTTTTCAGAGCAAATTTTTCACTGCGTGCCTATAGTAAATCCTGACAGTAGTTATTTAACGCCAAAAAAGGGTTTGCGCTGGCGCAAGCTGTTAGTAAATCTGACCCTTGGTTTCTTGTAGCAAAAAAATCTCTACTAGCATCTATACACAAATGTTTGCAAGCAAATGTTTTTAGCTACCAAAGCTTGATTTCATGTTTGTGTTCATCATGATGCAATTTATAACCCAACACCAAATACATGTTGCATGATCAGTTTTACCACAAGGGGAGCTATAATAGTTATTAACGTGAATTGTCTTATTCTTATTTAGTTTTCTCTTCTGCATTCCCCGCAAACTGCCCTACTATACAGTAGGTGAAAAACAGTATGTGAAAAGATTATTATGTCTGATTTCCTATTACGTATAAAGATTATTATGTCACTTTTTTAGTATTATGTCTGAATTCATAGGGCCCTATTTTAACGATCTGAAACGCAAGTGTCAAAGCGCAAAGCGCAAGTAACTTTGTGGGCGGATCCCGGCGCTGTTGCTATTTTCCCGGCGGGATAAATGCCTCTTGCGCCTGGCGCAAATCTAAAAGGGGTTGGTCTGAAGTAGCTTCATTATTCATAGGTGTGGTTTGGGCGTAACGTGAAATAAACCAATCAGAGCGTCATCTCACATTCCCTTTAAGAGGAGGCGCGCTTGTTCTAAAGAGGATTCCTATTATAACGGCGGATTTGCCAGGCGCGCGCCAGGAGCGGTTCACAGCCGAGGAGAGCAACGTTCTCGTCAGGGCCGTAAAACACAGAGAAGTGACATTGGGGATGGAGAAACCCACCCAAATTAACTTCTGTTAAACAGGCGTATGATAATTTGAGTAAATGTGTAAGCTACATGTATGCTTTTATAATAAATTGTCTATCTATCTATCTATCTATCTATCTATCTATCTATCTATCTATCTATCTATCTATCTATCTATCTATCTATCTATCTATCTATCTATCGTAATAATGTATGATTTGCAAAAATGAAAACTGCCGCTTAGATGAGAGAATCAAAGTGTATGCGCGTTGTGCACACGCTACATTGATTATGGCCAAGCATGCGCTCTTAAAATAGCATAATGAACAACGCGCAACGCGCCACTGACTTTAAACTAGGTTTTTTTCTGGTCAGTGGCACAATTGTTTTATAGAACAGCAAAATAGCATGAGGGAAAGTTTGCGCCGGAACATGCCTCCTCTTTGCGCTGAACCGCCCCAGGGAGCGCAAGTGTATCTGTGGAGGGAAAAGTCCGCTTTGCGCAGGTGCAAAATAGGAATGATACATGCGTCAGTGTACAAAGTCATTTGCGCCGGGTGCAAGATAGGGCCCATAGTATCCATAAAACAGTATAGGAGAAAAATACTGGGATGACTTCCGATGAGATTCTGAAGTGAGCATCTAATGTATAATTGGAATGGGAATGGCAGTGAAGCAATGTAACGCTGGACGCTGGAAGGTCACATGACAATGATAACAAGGCGAATGTAGTGTGCCCAGATCACATTCAGACAACACACATGTATACTATATAAAACATACTTTTTTAGCGGTCTCTAAGTAATTACTTATTCAAAAGAACTTATGCTATTTTGGAAGCAGCCAGGCATTTGAAAGAAACGTTATCGGCCCTTTGAGTACTGAGCTTTGCTACTGCACGAACGCATGATGCAAGTACATATAATGGGACTGCCTGCTTGCAATACTAAATGCATTTTTATCTGCATTTCTGTAGAGGATGTTTCTGGCCCAAGGGTGTTATAGAAGTAACAGCATCTTACAAGACAATTAAAACCCAGGGGACATACCGGTTCTTACAGGGCTTTATCAGTAAAATGATTGAAGCGCACAGAACAGCACTTATGTGTACTGACTACAGAGATGCAGCACTGACATAGACAGGGACATTACCAGAAAGAGGCCAGTGATAGATAGACAGAAATGGGTAAATCAATAAAGGGTCAAACAATGTAATTAGTTTTAGTGTGTGCCGTTGGTTGCTGTTTTTATTGGCTGTTGCATTAACACACTGTAAAATCCATTTAACTCTCAACCCAAGTTTTTTGAGTTTTTGATTTTCATCATCAGGGATTAAATTCAAAGTATTGTAACCTTTTGCACTACTTTGTTTTTACGTAAAATGAAACAAAATTCAGCAATTAAACTTAAAGGGATACTCTACCCAAAAATGGAAATTCTTTCATAATTTATTCACCCTTATGTTGTTCCAAACCTGTATGAATTTTTTTCCTTCTGCGTAACACAAAAGAAGATATTTTGAAGAATGATGATAGCCAAAGAGTTTTGGTTCCCGTTGACTTCCATTGTATTGTTTTGTCCATAAAAAAGGAAGTCAATGGGAACCGTTACCAACATTTTTCATTTTTGAAACGAAATTAGGGGGGTGACAGAATTTTCATTTTTGGGTAGAGTTGAAAACATTTAGATATTTATTATAGCCTTGTTCAACAGTAACAAAGCAAAATTCCAGTCAAATTCAACGATTGAGCTTCGATGAGAGTGCATTATAACACACAGTCTGTTTTCTGGGCTCCCAGTAGCCACGTGCTCCATGATTCACAGCCTGTGCCGAGCAATTTGTCAATACGACCGGCTGGCCCAGTTTGCAGTTCAGTATTCACTTTCTAGTGGGAACGTCAGTCTGCCTTCCAATTATAGCGCCAACTCGCTTGCCGAGCTGCTCTATCTACGGCCCAATTTCCAAACCTCACACTTTATTAAAAGCACAGGAGAGGGCTGGACTTCAGCAAATATATTTTATATCAATAAGACTCTACGGTTTTGCTAGATGTTTGACCAACAACAGCAGAAATTTCTCTTATTCTTTGGTAAAAGATTACACATGATACAATTTTCAGAGAAAAATAAGTAACATATTAAGCACAAAAACAATAAAATATAAATTTTTTAATACCATGCACTTTTGAATTGAAAGCATATTTTTACATATTCTATTCTAGTAGCTTAATTCATGTTGTTTAGTTAATTATACTGTATATGTTTTACATCATGAGTGCAGTCATCATCTGAAAATGACCATAAATGTGCTGCTTTTGAATGAACATTTGTACAAAAAAAATGTTTAGACAGTTACCTTGATGAGTATTTTGCCTTTTAGGTCTTCAGGTGAAGGCAGGAGTCCAGGTGGGTCTGTGGGGATGGAGGATATGTCCAGTTTATCACCAAACACTTCAGTCAGATACTGAGCCATCTTCTTTTGCTGAGGGACACTGCAGTGATTCTCAATGGACAGAATCACTGGATACCTGGAGGAAATATGGTCCAAAAACAAGCATTTACAGATCTATGATAATAGTGAGGCTAATAAAAAGACTTAAAATGTCCTTCAGGTTTGAGGCTTAAAGGTGCAGTAAGCGTTTTCTGAGAAACCAAAACAGTCAATCTACTATATGTTCATTTTTTCTTCTTCCTTGTCGTTCTTTGGTCATCTTCACTTTATTTAAGCATTATTTTGCCTCGCTTCAGCTATGATAAAGAGACATCCACTCTTGCATTGTGTGTTCGTGCAGTTTGGGGGCGGAGCAATGAAGGGAGGGGTGTGTGTGGGTTGATTTAAAATACAACAGTGTTTCTCAGAAATCGCTTAATGTACCTTTGAAACAACAGCTTACAATAAAAAAAAAGGTGACCAAAGCTTCAAATAACTTATGCAGAAATCTTCAAAACAAATTAACATTCTTTATGGCTTAATATAAAATTAAACAGCTCATTTAATATTTAGTTGTATCCTTATCTGAGGTGGAAAAACACACTTCTGGTGGTTAAGCAATCATTATTTTCAGTGATTTCAAGTCTTATTTCTTACTCTCTTTGTGGAAAACACTATTTTTGGTACAAGAAACCTAGATCCATAAGTGAAAACAAATAGCCCTAGAGACTGGTAACTGACAGATTTTTTACTGCTGTAAATGCGTACTTTTACTGCCATTGCAATTTATAAACAAACATGCTAATATGGCAAGCCAAATAGACACATAACAGATGCATATCACATCTGACATATGAGTGAGACATTGTCAAAAAATAGCTTTTTGTTTACTGCGACCTGCAAGAACCCTTAACAGTGTGTGGCTTCATTGCATTATGACCTTTAGCAACAACAACACCTGAAACTCATAGCGATGGAGGAAGTCATGTAGAAACAAGCTGTCAGTGTGAAATGTTCATGTGGACACACATGTTCACACGTTCCCTAGACCCTCTGCTCAACAGTGCTGTCATCAGGCTCAGAGAATGGGATATTACAAAAACAACGTGACTGTGGGCTAGCATTGATTGTCCTTCACTGCCAGCTGTCAGGCACATAAACCTTCAGGACTGAAACTTCAGAGTAATAGTTGTCGTTTCTCGTATATACCCCGGAAAAGCAAAATATATATGTATGTGTTTGTGTGTGTGTGTGTGTGTGTATATAGACGCAGAATTTAAGCATACATCTACTGTATATACATCTATATATTAAGCATACATATATTATATATGGCAAGATAATAAACTGATTCAAGTGTTTTAGCAGCTTCTTATGATTTCTGTTTAATTATCTCATTATTGTAATTTATTCACAGATACAGAAATTGTACAAAAAAAATTGTATATGTATTTAATTGTACAACTAAATAGAATAAGAAAAAGCCATCAACAAGAACGGTTTGACGAAATCAACTTGAACTCCATAACTTTTTGTCGGCATGGTCTGAAGTTGATCTGATACGATTTTCGTGAAATTTGGAGCAGCGGTCTAGGAGTTTGAAAAAGTAGGTTTTTCATGAAATTAAAAATTATGGAATAATTTTCATGATGGAAAATGACATCATAGGTTGCGTTTGAACTGTCTTGAGCCAAAGAATCAGAGGAAACATTTTTTTTTCTATTTTGTTTCTAGCCCGTATACATTTCAAAAGTTATTAGCATAAACATTAGTGAACATTTGGACAGTTGGTGGCGCTTGAGGGTTTGAGTTAGAGACTCCCAATTTGCTATGGTACCTGTTCAGACTTTCCTCTATCTGTGTGCCAAATTTCACAACTTTTTCACAAGTGGTTCTGTGGGCTTCCTTAGCTTAGACTTTCATGGCGGAAGACGCAGCATCGGTGCTTGGCCCGTAATCATAATAACTTTGTATGTGTGTACACTAGAAATTGCATTTTATAACAAAAAGACTGACTCAAAATAATTATACATACATTTGTTTTGCTCTTCTCAGCTTAAAAAAAGTTGGTAGTTGTTTATATCTGTCAACCACTACCTATAACCTTCTGAATCAGTCAATATCCAATATATCCGATGTCTCTTACTGGGTTTTGATGAATGCATATTTGTTGATGGTCTCAATAACATCTTTAAAAAGGATTTTGGAAGTCAGGGTGTAGCCATGATGTACGATTGGTTCTCCATCCTGCCCATCCCAGCAATCCACTAAAGGATGATAATAAAACAAAGTTAAAATGTATTAAATGGATTCATTTAAATGAGTTAAATAAATGTACATGTAATTGATACTTTTTCCTTTGTATTTCTCAAGAAAACTAAAGCATATTTTACAAATCACACACAGAGCTTTGATTCTCATAAATAGTTTCACAAACTGTGGAAATCCATTCACTTTAGGAAAATCAGGCCAGTCTTACCTTCCACACATCTGCAGCCGGCCTGAAGCACCCAGGCGTACATATCCACCCGAGACTGGGACATGAGCTGGTCGCCCATCAGGTAGGTGTTGTGGGAGGAAGCAATGAAGTAGTTACTGAGTGGCTGCGTCATGTCCTGGTTTACCTCGTAATGCTCAGGGTTGAAGATGTCCCCAGCAGGACTGCGCATGTAATTTGTAAAACCTGTGGTGTACATTTAGAGGAGATTGTGAATTCCTGTCTACATTAGTTGATGCAGTACAAAGAACATTTCAGCATTTCAGTAACATTTCAGCAACTGAATTTTAGAAATAAAACATCCGTACCGTCAATCCCCAGGACACCCAGTGTCTGGTTTTCAGGACAAGGCTCAAACTTGGACACAATTTCGAGGCAGTGCTCTTTTGAGACACTGGTCATCTGAAACACAAACAAACAGAAAAGAAAGATGAACAAATGAATGATTAAACACGTACAAATGCGAAAAGCATGCATTTAATACAGTTACAGCCAATTTTTATTCATATATCAAATGTGTGATAAATAACGCCACAGGGAGCCATCCTCACACAACTCGCCCATCTCCGCTCTGGAGTCGATTGTGACGCCTGACAGCTGGCGTTTAAATGGACTGATTAGTCGACGAGATTCCCATCCACGCTAATCAGTGTTAGATATTTCCTCCAGCTAATGCAGTGGAGGATGGTGGGACACTGCCAGCTGTGGATACGGAGTAAACTGCGCAGTACATCAACATCATTGTTGATGAATGATTAGCTGCTAGTGGAACTTAAAGGGATGGGTCTACTTTATTCTCAGCTCTATTTTGCTCAGTCCATTAACGATGCTGTTTGATAAGAGACACTTTTTTTTCTTTCTTTTTTTTCCCTCTACTTGAGACAAATGAGAGTGGAGTGTTATCATGAAGAAAAGGTCACTCTGAGTGATACCATTTGCTTGAAATGCTAATTTCCTCATTCTATATAGTTCATGGTGTATGTTTAATTTCAATTTGACTGCATTCTAGTACTTTATAATGCCGTACATGAATGCTTTTAAACTTTTAATGAGATTTTAATGACCGCCTTAAACATCAGCGTTCTGTCAACCACTTACTTGAAACACCACTTGAATCAAACATCACGTGGATTTTTGATTTGCTAGTTGAAGTGATATGAAAATGTACCACTAGAGTTGATTTTACAAATGAGGTTCCATAGGTTAATGAACATTAGAATAGAATTAAATAGCTATCATTCATAGTTGTTAACATATCAATTCACTTGAGATGAATGTAATATTATATTTAAATCATAAATCAGTTATGACATGCAATCAATTGTATATTATGATATGTGAACATACAATCATTTCCTGAATGTTTCTATAAACAATTTATGAAATGGGAAAATGTTAATGGCTAGCTGAGGCATAACACTTCCATCATCTCTTTATCTGTCACCATTCTGGGGTGCGTTTCCCATAAGCATCGTTAGCCAACTATGGCAAGTTCCGTCGTTATCAGCGGTTCAACAAGTCTGTGTTTCCCGAAACCATCGTTCAAACGAACATTCGCAAACAGCATCGCAAAGTTGTGTGGTTGAAGAAGCAGAGTTTCTTGTTTGCATGACATGTGGACTCAATAAATCCTTATCTTGAACCAAATAAGCAAGCTGACATTCTGTAAAATCTGTATGTTTTATTTAGAATACATATAAATGTCATTTCCGTCTTTTAGTTTTTCAAGAGATTTAAAGCACTGTTTTTGAAGTGTGCATGTGCGAACGTGCTCTAGTACGTAAGAATGAGCCTATGATTGAATCTGGAAATAATGCAAAATAACTGAGAAAAATGAGCCGTAATTTATAGCAAAACATCGAGCATTAATTAAATCTCAAACATATACATTAAAAGTAGTTATTACTCCACAACCTGTGTGACATCATTAACCAACGTGGCTGAACTTCCAATATGCGACAATACGGTTTGGGGAAACAGTCGTGACAAGCTAGTTGATTTCTTCAACGATGCATCGTACTATGGCAGTAAAGCAGCGAGTTATGTTGTTGTATGGGAAACGCACCCCAGTTCAGTTTAGCATTTACCTAACACCATAATATTACCTTTACAACTTAAATTTAAAAGGAGATATGGTGATAATTTTTCAAATAGAGTTCAATAATACCAAGTAGTCTCTCAATGTCACACATAATGCACGGTTGGTAAAGCAACTCTTTCTTTATTAACAATAATCAGTGTTTTATATTTTTAGAATTTAAATTTTTATAATCAATTGATTCATCATTTGACAGCATAGATGCCCATAATTTGCAGACGGTCCATACTTATTCCAAAAAGAGGACTCAAATTTGAATATTTATGTTTAAACAAGGTCACTCATTTATGAAATTCAGAGAATTTCATAACCACTGCAAATGTACATTTTGTTTTTCAGTGTGAATAACCTGTTAATGTACTAAGTAGTGTTAATGTACTGTTAATGTGTTAAGTAGTGTTTCAGGCCACTAATAAAAATTCAAATAAATCTTAAGCTGCCCCCCTTAGCAAAGCTTCATTGACTTCTGTGCTGTTCTTTAAGACCATAAAAGAGAAGGATTTGAGGGTGTGTGAGGACAGTCTTTCCAAAATGTTGAGAAAAAGCCTATAAACGGTCACATTAGCATGGAAAGGTCACATTGTATTTTCATTGAGCTTATCAAAAGTGCCTGAGCTAAAAAGACGTGAAAACAACATGCATGACAGATGCTTCACAGTGCCTGCTGCATTTTTTTTGGGGTATTTCTATCTTACTAGTGGATTTGACCTGCCAACCACGCCTCACCTTTTGTTCAGTCTCAAGGAAGCGTTTGAGGTCATCCGTATCCAGGTGGTCTTTATGGTTGCTGTAGGTGAGCATCAGCAGGTAGAGATCGCGCCGCGTTGACATCATCTTATAGAAAGAGCAGAACTCCTCAAATCCCAAAGTGCCTTGGTTGTCATCAGTGTCTGCCTCCTAAAATCAGAGATGGAGAAATTTGGAGTGAAAGAACATCAAGGTGAATCAAACTGTTTGCCATTGAAGTAACATTATAAAAGAATTTTAAAAACGTTTAAAAGAAGTTTAAAAGAATGTCATGCTGCTCTTTTCCATACAACAAAAGCATATAGTGTCCAGGGGCTGTCAAGTTCAGAAAAACAGGGAAAACCACCATGAAGGAACCATCAAAGTAGCCTATGTTCCAAATCTTTTGAAGTCATATGCTATGAGGCTTTTTGTGGGAGAAACAGATTACAACTTACCTTACTTGCATTACATATTCAAATATCACGATTCCATTTTTCATGTTAATGATGCCAAACAGCAAGGTTCTTGCATGCCTCGTAACTGTGAGGGGGAGGGGAATATTTGCAGTAAATAACGACTACAATTATTTTAGTTTCTCACATAAAGCTATTGTACCGCTTCAGAAGACTTGGAATGTAGTGTACAGGTTATGCCTTTTTGTAATTTTTGTAGTTTGACCGTGAGCATATCGATTTACTTTCATTATATGGAAAAGAGCAAATGTGAACATTTTGCCAATCAACTTCTTGTGTTCCACAAATGAAAGAGTCGCATTAGGTAAATAATGGGGAAAAAATACATGTTTGGATTAACTATTCATTTAAACCCTGGTTGCTTGTACCTGTAATAACTGTTCTGTTTCTGTAATAAGTGTACAATTCTTTTTGGATGACTTTTTACATACTGTTAATTTTGTTATAAAAATTCATATGGCATATTCTCCTGATTAAAAAATATATATTTTTTAGAGTTAGCCTCCTCATATCTGAAACAGATTATGGTCAGGCTTTCACATTTTTGTAAAGGTATTTCATGCAAATAAACTGCTCATCACTTTCTACATCCAGGGATCCTCTTACAGAAAATACCACAAATATGCCTCTAATCCAAAGGTTTATGAACTGTAACCATTTTAATTCGTGTGCCATTTCTTGAGTGAAAATAGAGTAATGCACAGTTGTGGGTATTTGCTTCCTAAAGCATGACTTCAGTCACTGATCACTGGCTATGATGGAGGATAAACCAGCAGCTCTTTAATCAACTGGAGAAATGGATCATTCAATAACAGCAACCCACTATCACAATTAAACCCCTGCCTTGCTGAGAAGTCAAACCCCTAAAAAACAACAGCGACTCCACATCTCTCCTACAGCTCTCAGCCCATAAGAGCCCAGAACCGTTTTCTCAGCTCACTGAATCCCAGACTCAGACGCCAGCGCTGATCCGGAGAGCTGCTGAGTCAAACACACAAACAAAGGCTTGCGGTGAGCCGAGCCGTGGAGGATGTAATAAACCCTGAGCTAAGCGCCCGAGAATTGGTGCTTTATTGTGAGAAGCGTGAAAACAGGTCACAAACACTGAAGATGCCGAGAAGAGCCGCATTCACACTGCTCCCTCCGAGGAGATGGCATCACTTCCTCTGAGTACAGGACTGAGGTATCTAAATTATGGACCTTACAAATAAATACACTACATAATTAAAAATGGAACTTTTTATACAATAAATATACTTATAATTAAATTGTAAAACATTATTACATTTTTACATTTAAAAAAAAATCAGGGTATTGCCATAGGGTTGTTCGTGATTGTAGGTTATTTACTGTCAAAAAAGCCATAATGATAATCTGTTCTCTAGATGTAAAAAAAAATTATCGGCCAGGCCAGTCCAATTGTTTGAGGTATAATTCACATCAATACAACAAACGGAGCAGATTACATGTCAAAGTCAAATTGTAAAATATTATTACAATTAAAAATAACTGTTTTCTATTTTAATATATTTTAAAATGTAATTTAATCCTGTCAGTGCCACTTGATTAATATGATAATTTTGTGCTCAAGTAATTTCTATTTTATTTTATTTGAATAATTATTAGTAGTAATTATTATCACATTTAAAAACGGTCATACTGCTTAAAATATAAAAAAACGTGATATATTGTCCTCTCAGGATTCTTTGATGAATAGAAAGTTCAAAAGCACATTTATTTGGAATTGAGTTTTTTCACATTTGATCAATTTAATGTAACCCTGCAGAATATAAGTATTATATTCTTTCAAAAAAATCTTACTGGCTTTTGACTTATTACTAAACATTGTTCTCTAATTAATATATATTATTTCAAACGAATTTTGATTTCAGTTTATAAACACACAGCAGATTTTCAGCACACAATATGCCGCGAATCACACAGGTTGTTTATGAGGTTAAGCCAGAGAAATCAGGGCCAAAGACTTAAGGTGACATCACTCTCTGTTGTTGGATAGCAGGGCCAGATTGCCCCCCTGTGGTTTACTGTGTCTTACACTAAAGGCCATCTGTGTCCATTTACAGCAGATGGGGTGGATGCTGATGAAGTGTGAAGCTTAGTGACCTGCAAACAGCTGAGGTGAGGTCTCGATCACATACTCACAATAATCCAGGTGGCCATTTTTATGCTTTGGAGCCGAGAAAAACAAAAAAACAAAACAAGGAATGTCGATATGTCAAACACTGTTTATTATGCATTTTGCTAAAATCTTCAGGGCTGACCAATTATCTGTATTTTCATATTCAAGTTAGAATAATTCTAGTCTAGATATATGCGACCAATGATAATACAGGACTGTCTCGTGTGTATACATTCAAAATATGGTAAGTGATTTTTCAAAATACCAAGCTCTAACTACTGCAATTTCTTCCTAGGCTGATTTTGAGTTTCCTAGGCTGAGGAAAATACCAACTGGTACACTTAATACCAACTAGTACTAAGTAATACAGTGCCAACACACCACATTGCTTTCAGGGTTATATTAAACTAATATTAATGATGGATCCAATATTCCTAACATTTTGGAACAATCCAACATGGAGTAGCTGGCAGGACCGAACATTTTTGGCATCTTTTGTTCTGATGGGATATGGTGAACAGATAGGATCCAATATTCCTGACATTTCAAGTCACACTTAACAAGTCAGCTTGTTGTTGTTGTTTTTTACATTGTGGAATACACCTGTTGTGTGCTTTCATCGATTACCCTTAAGGTAACCGTAGCTTTCAGCCAGAAGCAGCCCAACCTTCCTTGAGTGTTTCGACCCTTAACCACAACACTCTCCAGTTGGTGGATCGGCAGTGGTGGCCAAATCACTGCCCATCTGCTCCTGGCTTCCAGCTGTCTTCCTCTCTCTTACTCCATATCCAGCAAAAAGCTCGTTCAGCCTCATCTCCCATTCTATGAGTAGCGTTCGTTTTGGTCTTCTCGTCCATGCCTAAAGCTGACAACAGCAGCCATGCAAGGATAGGCCAGGAAAGCCTCTGCACCCTTGCTGCATGCCTGCCATCCCTGGTCTTTGCACTCCTGGATTAAAGGCTGATATTTCAAGGCCTTCCTCTCATGAGCCTCTTCACAGCCCTCCTCCCATGGCTCTTTATTAAGAGTGATACTTTTACTCTTAGATTTAAGTGCTGCTTTTGATACAGTGGACTATAAAATCTTACGTCTTGAACAATGTGTGGGTATTGAAGGTTGCACTCTAAATTGGTTTAAGTCCTACCTGAATGCTAGAACATTTTCTGTTTTCATTTCACTTTTATGCTGATGACACCCAGATTGATTTGCCCTTAAAGAAAAACTCTCTGATCTTTGAAATGAAATAACTCTGCTAGATCATTAATTAAGGTCGTCTCAATAAAGATTGCTGATGGTTCCCAGATCTAGACTTGAGACGAGGGGTGACCGTACTTTTTCCATTGTTGGTCCAAAATTTTGGAATTGTCTTCCTCTATCTCTAAGACTAGTATCCACATAGTCTGATTTTAAATCTAAGGTAAAAACCTTGAATTTTCTGATTGGTGTTTTTGATGTAAACGTCCTTTATAAATAGTCTTTCTTGTATTTTAGATATTTATTCTGTTGTACAGCACAATGGCCAGCTACTGTTGCTTTTATTGTGCTATATAAATAAAAGTTGATTTGATGATTTGATTTCTGGCATTTCAGAACATTCCAACATGGCATAGCTGGAAGGATCTAACATTTTTGCTATCTTCAGACGGGATCTGGAGAAGAGATTGGATCCAATATTCCTGGTGGTTTGGCATAGTTTTGGCAACATTTTTGGCATAGTTGGTAGCATAACCAGCAGGATCTAATAGTTTTGGTGTACAGTAGCTGTTAGGATCCTAACAGTCTAAAAAGTAGACTGTGGTTGGTCACTTTACATGTCAGTCAGACTAAGAAGGCGAAGTGGGAGTTTTTGACCAGAATAAGCTACAATGTGACTAGACTTCTATCTATAAATTACAGGAACGTCTGTCTGTCTGTGTGTGTGTGTGTCTGTCTGTTAATCGCATATCTCTCGAACCGTTAGTCCGATGGATCTCAAACTTGACAGGTGTCTTGCTACGGGCACGAGTAAGTGCAGTGCCGAGTTTGACGTTGTTTGGATTAGAAATGCAAAAGATATCGCTAAATATATCGCTAAAAGAAGCACACATTGGTTTTGGCCGCTCTAGCCGCTGGCCACTCCCCCTCTCACACTGCACACTGAGTGAGCACAGCGCAGGACCAGAGACAGAGGGACGAAGAAAGCAGATTTGCTCCCTGAATCGTCGCGCTTATTCATTTGTTAACTGAATCTGCAAGTCAGCTACGCTGTTTACTTCTTAATATTATATTTAATGCGTTCGCAGTCTCTTTCACGGCCATCATTTGTAGTAAATGCTATTAACGTTATGTGTCATGCGCGCTGAAGTTAGCATGTATATGTTAACTATGTGATGTTTAATATGCTATGGTAAATAGTTGCCCTGCCTATTCAACAGTATATAGCAGGCTTTAACGAGCTTAACGAGTATAGTAATCCTCTTACCGATCGTGTGACAGCAAATCTATGAAGGTAAAATGATGACATCAAGAATCGCATGCACAGGGTAAGATTTGTGAAAGCGTACATAAGATTGCAAGCGTAAATTAAATTTGCATGTGCAAGAGAAGATTTGTAAAGGTGTAAATCGGCCGCAAAATAAATAGGATCTGTATTCTTCAAACTTTCATTTTTCCGCGCTTATACTTTTGGCACGGCTTTTGCGCACAAATGCGGCCAAAAGCACTGCAAGCCTGTGAACAGCAATTTGCAACCGAAAACAACAGAGGCAGGAACTGCAAAACAGATTAACTGCGTAAAAGTTTAATATGTTTCTTTAAACCTACGCTGTTTACTTCTTAATATCTATCTATCTATAAATAGATATTAAGAAGTCAACAGCGTAGCTGTTTTTACTTCTTAATATATTATTTAATTCTGGTGCGCTTAACATTTTCGCTATCTTTCAGGGCCATGTAAATATATTACTGTCATGCTTAACATTATCGCTATCTTTCACGGGCATGTATCTGTATCCACTCTAAATATATCCTCCAATGCATCATTATGTCAGTATTAGTATGCTTTCTACCATGCACAAATAAAAATGTCATTGAACTTTTGCTGTGTAATTGTAACAATGAGCACTCAAACACACCAAACCAACAATTGCTAAAAACACACACAAAAAAATTATTTTACACGGGCATTTTGCACTAGTTATATAAAAAGTATAACAAAAACCATAAAATATATTGACGGTTCATGAAAAGTAGTCAGTTAGTTTTCACTGCCTGTGGTAGCTTTGCAGATGTTGTACCTTTAAAAGTTGATTTGGCAATATTTGGCAAGTGGGTTCTATTGTCTTTATCAATCACTGCCAATTTTCCTGATCGTAATGGCCCGGTGGTCAGCTTACCTTAAACATCTGTTTGACTTTCTGTCTGGGCAGGTTGACATTGAGCTTGTGCAGGAGCTGTAGGACTTCACTGATGCTGAGGCAGCCGTCTCCATTCTTATCTGCCTCTGCGAAGGTCTGCTTCAGCCATGTAATGGGAAGAGTTAAGGGTCTGAGAACATAGAATGGCAAGCACCCCAACCAACAAAATATTATGTTCAGCACTGTTTCATACCAAGAATTTAAACTGCTGATGTTGCGAGTTTGCTAAACTATGTTTAAACCAGTAGTATGACAATAGCTCAGATTTTTTTCAAAACTGGGTATCTTTTCACGTAACGATCTACCTTTCTTTTCGTTTTTAAAGAGTAGCATGATAAAAAAAAGGCTATGTCACTATTCACTGATTCATTTGATTCCCATGAAGAAGATCCTGAACTGCATTATACGTCTCCCAGATAAGGAAGACAAGTTTGGGAAGATTCAGGTAGCTTGACTCTAGCTAACTTCTTTTTTATGAAAGCTTGACAGTAACTATGTCTTCACATAAGGATAGGTTGACGGTAGTGAACTACTTTTATAAAAGCATAGCTTGAAATACTAAATTATGAGAAACTTGTGTTTTGGAGTTTCCTCAACAGGGAATCTAACTCTGCTGACAGTTCCAACAAGTTCATATTTCCCAATCTACTAAAAATCTGATTGATAGTAAGGTAGATAGCATCATCTTTATCGAGTTTCTGTCATTGAAACTCCTTTAGAAAGGATATTGGTCACGAGTCCGTTGTCGTTTGGCCAGACTGTCTTCATCGCTGATGCCGGCCATAAGGTACTTAAGGCCAGTGATCCAGGTGCGAGCTTCTTCTCCTGTACCTGACACCAGGTCAAGGGACGCCATGTGCTCGCCATAGTAGATGCTGAAGCAGCAGTTGGGATCAAAACTACCGTCAGAATACCGCTGGAAGATCTCAGACTGCTTCCCCTCACACACCTCCCGAATGGAGTCGATTGGGACTGGGAGGAGAAAAAGACAACGGGATTGAGTAGTTAAAGAAAGAGATGACATTTATGCTATAATCCTGAGGTGTTCGTTAACATTCTACTTTCCGTCAAGCTGCAAAAACCTCAAAGAAACATCATCCTGCACCAACATCCTAATGCTACGAATGTGTGTAATGAAGTCCCTCAAGAACTGATCATGTAAATGAGAAGAGCAGATGGCTACCTCAAATTAAACATTCTCCAATGCCAATGTACAACATCTAGAAACACTTAATTCGTCAATTCGTGCTCATTTAAACCAGATCATGTCTGCCAAGAGAGTAGCCACATCTGAACAGCATGCTACAATAGCACATTCCTCCACCCCAAAACAAAGCAATTCTAGCAACTACTGGAGTGACATCTGATTCAACACATGCTTGTTTTCAAGCACCCATTTTTGAAATGTAACATATCAAGATGAGATTTTAGAGAAAAAAACCCACAACCTATCTGTTTATTACTTGATTCTGATTGGTCAGTCATGGCTTTCTGTATATTTCATTCACATGTTCTTGTATAATGATACTAATGTGTGTTAAACTGTAAACTGTACTATACAGTACAAATTGTTGATGCAGTTAAGAAAGAAAGAAAGAAAGAAAGAAAGAAAGAAAGAAAGAAAGAAAGAAAGAAAGAAAGAAAGAAAGAAAGAAAGAAAGAAGGATAAACAACAAGAAAGTGCAGTTAAGAAAGATAAGCTACAAGAAAGACCCGATGGAATATATATATTAAAATGCTGCTGTTCATCACACGTTTTTTTAGCTTGCAGTGTACTTTAAATCTTAAAAGTATATTGGTAACACTTTATTTTACAGTGTCATTGTTACATATGTTAACATGTTACTATCGTTACTATACTATAACTATAAACTAACCCTAAACCAAACCCTAATCCTAACCCTATAATAAGTACATGTAGTTACTTAATATTGCTCAGTACATAAATGTATAATTACAGTGTAACAATTACACCTTCAAATAAAGTGAAACCAGTATTCAAAATACTGGAAAATATTATACCCTAAATAGTTTAAAGATAGTAAGTATCTTTTTGTTTTTATGTTGTTATACAACTATGTTTTCAAAAGGATAGGTTTCTTGTGGATTAAATACTTAAAATTAAAGTGAAACTTTGCGTATACAGATAAGAGTTTTTTATCTATAATTTAGCAGATACAACACGAGTATAAAAAGCATGAAAAGTACCATCTGTGTGCGATTTCCACTAGGAGACCTCTAGGCTGCTAAATAATGCAGATTGAGGTGGTAGCAGAATCTCAGATGATCTTATTGTTGAAGTATATATACTCAAAGGCTCAAAGACTCAAAGTTACCTAATGAATCTCACATGAATTTGATTTTTTTTAATGAACCAACTGGTGCATACTGAAATCTTTCCGGTTAAGACTGATGAATAATTGAGTCAACTTAAGAAGCTGATTAATTCCCCAGCCTGCGGTGGAATGTCGGGACTCTGAACTTTATCCCCCCTCGTGAGAGACAATGAGCGCTGTCATTTAGACATGAATCATCGGCTGTTACTGAAGTAACCATCCCCTGTGAGGCGTAATGTCAATAACTCATGATAGTTGAGGACATCCCCAGGAAATAGTAAGGCAAGAGAGGCAGGTCAAGACACAGACACGCTATGCATGGCAGTTAGAGCAATCAAATTACATCTGTAATAGATAGAAGTATTCATTGTTGAATGATCCTCATAAGAAAGAAAAATGAATGAAATCAATGTAGTGTAGATTAGTTTCTCTTCTTTCTTAAGTATCCCGCTTCTCATTTTTGTTCTCTTAAGAAAAGAGTAATCTATCATGTGTCTCCTCTAGAGTTTCAGAGGACATCTCAAACAATGTCTCAAACTATGTTAAGATTTACCTCATAGCATTTTACCTCATAGCAATTTACCTCAAATTCTGCTTTCAACAGTGCTCAATAGTTCTCAGATCTCAATATGAACTCAAACTGTTCTCATCAAATTTAAAGCTGATACTTAAAGCTCCAGTCCGTAACTTTTTTAAGTTAAAAATAATCCAAAATAATTATATTAAAAAAAACTTATTCTGCCAGTGGTCAAAACTATCTGCTTGCCATAGCTAGATTCAAAACGGTTAGCTTGTAATAATGATTTTAATTCCAGTGGTACTGGTGGGTTTCCGCGGGAAATTCGAGCATGTCTTTGCGTCATTACGTCACACCCGTACACATAAAGAAGGAGTTTCGGCTAGCTGGCTATACTGCGCGTGACGAGATGTTTAGATGTATAGGCTTTTCTGCAGCACTTTACATAATTAAACTTATGGCATCCAGAAAGATCCAAACAACAATCATCAGTGTCAACTGGAGATTCAGCAGTTATAAAACCCAAAAGACTTCGTACTTCGGATTTAAGGTGGCTAGAGAAAGAGAAAGAAACCGTCTCATGCGAACACAAGGATTTAAACGTCGGCGGGGCTTTTGAAAAGTGCGTGAACTCCGTGTTTTGAAGGGGTTCAAAACGGAAGAAGAGACGGCTTTTTTCTGCTGAACAAGTAAGACATTTCAATAGTTCAATCGTGTAACAGTACGTTTTCTTAATTCACACAGTTATGGAGTTTCCTTGTGCCTTTCTCGTTTTGCTATTATGGAGAATATGAATTCTGAACTACACAGGTAACCATAAAACACATTCAATTTAACATTAGTCACGCAATGCTGATGTTGTTAACATGAACAATTTGAGAACAAAGTAGGCTATAATTTGCACGGTTGCTGTAAATCGCGTTGATTAAATCTAACGAAGCTTATCATGTCGAATGCTTTTTCCCCCTTAGTTGGTCAGAACAAAAATGGATTTTACTTACTTGTTCAGAAGACATTTTCTTATGAAAATTCTTATGTTGGTCAAACTTTCAAAAAGTGAATCTGTGATTCTGTATGACAGTATCCACACAGCGCGGTGACTGACAGCAGCACTCGCCTCAAAGCACTGTGTTCATCCGCGCTGTTTCATGCCGATTTACAACCCACGTAAAGATGATAATTCCGCGAATCACTGCAGTTACAGATTTCGAACAGAGAGATGGCGACAAAGAGGAAAATATACGGACTGCAGCTTTAAGTGAGATATGACTGAGATCTCCATTATCTTAGTGTTGCAACATTAGTTTGATAGCCCTATTCTTCAGAGACAACATCTGAGACAAGATTGATACTTGCATAGAACATATCAACAAGTCTTCTGAGTTATTGAAGAGCCACATCTGAGATTTTCATTGTGGTCCGTAAAAGAGAGGGCTAATAAAAACAGGCATAACCTCAGCAATAAAAATGAGACTTACTTTTGGCTTTCTCATTCTTCCTAGACGGTCGCCAGCGGATGCAGGATTTGTGTTCGTCCAAGTAGAAAAAGCGCACCAGGCCTTTGGATCCTCCACGCAGTTTCACCATCTGAGTGCCCGTCTGCATGGAGCTCATGCATTTCTCCACTAACAGAGACACAAGAGACAGGGATGATTTCAGGCATGTCTACTGTACAGTATATACTGTTTTCATTAAGAAATACAATGAAAAAATAGTAATAGAATTCATAAACAGATGAATGAACGAAACAATAATAATAACAAAACATTAGATGGCTGTATATTGCACTCCCTTTCCGTCCCCAAAACTATAAATGAAACATGATAATGTTCTAATGTTTTTGGTGTATGAGAGCAAACATACACCAATGATATTTGTATCATTTCAAATGGAAGAGGTTAAGTTGTCTGCTACTCATGATATTATTGGTAAACCCCACCCAAGCATTTTTCAGCATTTTTCCTGTGTATGTGTACGTTACCCAGAGGACTAACAATCCATCAAAATATCTGACATGCTCCTGAAACGGCCAGCAATCAATACTGTGACCTTTATGTACCTGATAAAAATCCAAAATTATTTTCAAACATCCCTCTTCCTTCACAATACAACAATTGTTTGGCAAGATTGAACATTTCTCTGTTCATATACTGCATTTATGAAAGCAACCGCTAGTTGGAAACATAACTGCCACATTCTCTCAATCTTAAATTTTCTCCAAATGGCTCATGAAATGTTTGTGAAATGTGACATGTTTAAACCTGCTGGACTAATGTTTTAACACTGTGATGAAAGTGGAATTTATTGAAATAACCAAGCACTGTTACAACATAAACAACATTTCCAATTTACTGTTCTCCTTATAAAAATAAAAAAATGGTAGCAGTACCATGGAACAGTGATGCTTTGACATTTACATTGCATCACTGTGCTAAAACATACTATAACCACGGCACTTAAAGTGTCATAACAGTGCAGGGAAAAAACTAACAAGAACAAAATCCCAGCCGACTTTACTCCACCAAATTGCCTTCAGGAACAGAGATGACTGCAAGCTTTTTGTTTTTTCATTATTCATGCACTTATGAACAGAAAGAGTGTGAAGTAACACTTAAGACAACACAGATCTGGCTTTGATAAAGAAGTTTCTTCAGAGAACAGACCGCTGTTACATAAACAGCAGATGAGCTGAGAGACTATTATATAATAATCAGCGAAGTGTTCACAATACTGTGCCATTGCTCTACGTTTCCATCTTTTAGTATTAATGCGGTATTAATATTGGCAGAGCTCATCTGAGGTGGCTCTTTATTTGACAATTATGCAGGGAGCATCGACAGACAGGATGTAATATAAGAAGATTTGAGCAGATCGCTAAATCCAGGTTTGAGTGATTGGTGTATACGCTTATGTGTAATTCAGAATGACTGTACACTGATTGCATGGCTAAAGTACCTTGTCTAAGGCCAAGCGGTGATCCCAGTTACTCAATGAGATCCAGTATCGTCAGTATTTTAACTACTAAAAATCCACAATTTTTAGTTCCAATTAGAACCAGAAATGCTTTACAGCCTGATCTCATACATAGGAGATCTCTAGCTCTGTAGAAAACCATGTAAAGGTGCTTTAAAAGGATAGTGTTCACCTCCGAAAATATATTCCAAAGGAGAAAGAAATGCATACGCCTTTGGAAGAACATGAGGGTGAGTAAACGATGACAGAAAATGAATTTTTTTAAGTGGCTATCTCTTTATGGTTAACATGAAATTGCATTCCTGCGATGGACTGGCCATCGATCCAGGATCCAGCATCCCTGCGACTGTACATAAAACAAGCGGTTTGGAACATCGATGGATGGATTTTACATTTGTAATGTGACAAGTCTCTGAGTGAAAAAAGGATATTAATGAAGCAAAAATGTAGGATGGGGCTTGATTTCATATGTTGGGAAATACCGGATTATAAAAAGGTGGCCATTCCATACCAGAATGGACCAGAATACAAGTCATCTGCTTTAATGTTAAACTGCACTGAATTATTACTATAGGCAAAAAAAAAATTAATATAGGAAAAAAAAATGGCTGAGTATAATTTTGGCACTGTTTTTCAGCCTCTTTTTTTTCAGGGGTTTAACAAGACAAACATTTATTTTCTTTGAAATAACGAGCACTGATGGATCATTTACTATAAGACCAGGAATGTGCATTACAAATGTTAATAGAGTCAAAATAGAGTTTAAACCACCCAAAAAAAAAAAAAAAAAAAAAAAAAAAAATGCTGATTTGAAGAAATGTACAGTAACATCTAGAGCTTTTTATTTTCATCAAAGAACTAAACTCAAGAACAACGGAAAATGGTTTGTGATACAAAGAGGTACAAAGAACTGTTGAAGAACATTTATTTTAAAAATGTGGAATGGATCCAGCAACCTTCGTGGCTGATTTGCCAGATAAACCTTAAATAGAATGTAGCCTGCTTTAACAAAAGTTCTATGAGATAATGCCAGCTCAATGCACCATAAATTCAGCCAGCCGTTTTTTTTTTTTTCCTAAAATGCTTGCAAAGAGCTGTGGTCTTTTAAATTGATCCGATCTCTATTGCTGAACACACAGCAGGAAGTTAAGAATCAATAGGGGTTAAGCCAAACTGCTTTTTGATTGTTAGAACAGTAGATACCAAAAACAAAGAAGAGTGATTTAGTGAATGTATCCCATGTTGTGCAAAAGCAGTCTAACGCAAGCGTTTCCCATGTGGTACCTCATCAAAAACACTCCTCTAGTGGGTCTGAAATGGTTGCTATGGAAACCAGGTTCATGGTTGAAACGTTTGAGAAACCTAAATGGAAATTTAAGAAAACAAGACTAGCCATGATGTTCATTGACAAGCTTGAATACTCACACACTCTAGTTGGCTCAAGAAAATATTTGGCAACAAAATGTCAAAAGAAGATGCACTAATTGGTGCCATTGTAAGCCCATTTATCAGAGTTGAGCCTCTAATGCTGCCACATAGCAGGTCAAAGGGGTTTGTCTACAGGATGTGTGCCAGAGAAAAGTAAGGTAAACCTCTCAAGCACCATCCATCAGGGAATTAAAGCTTAAAGGGATTGCCCATATGTCACTCCATGTACAAACAGGTGCCTTTTCATCATGCCACACAAAAGAAATCAGCATTCTTGACGGCTCGATGCGTCGATGGAGCCAAATGTCACACTGGTATGTTGTAAACAACCAGGACAGAATTTTGGAGAGCAAGTAAAGAACTAATATTTTAAGACAGCAATGACATTCAATTCAAGGTTTGGAATGTTCAGTATAGTGATGTTTTATTTATTTATTTATTTATATTTTTCAATTTTTTCTTTCTTTTATTATTTTCTTTCTTTTAGGAGGCTCCAAATGCTGGTCTAACCCTTTCTGAGCATACTGTATATCTAAACTTAAATGGTTGTAATTTATGAATGCTATGGGATACACATCTAAGGTTGTTTTTTTTTAAAGAAAACATTTAGCAGATTATAATATTGCAGAAGTGAAAGCAGCTTTAAATAATGATAAAGAAGGTTATAGAAGTTTATTGTAAAGCTAATGTACTGAAAATATTCCATTTTATATAAATATGTTACAAAATAAGTTGGACTCGAAAACTGCTCGAAAATCAAAGGTATATTTCTAACCAAGTTGTTTCCAAATTTGAAGTTGATATCACAAAAATGAAGCCAGCTAAAAGGTTATAAAGTACCATTTCCATTGTCATGCAATGTCCAATTAAAAACGTTTTTTTCTCTCTCGACTGTTTAAGCTTTCGAATGATGATAAAATACATGTGTTAAAAAAGTGTGCCAAGTGTCCCACAACAAGGATACTGACAGTTAACAGGATAACATATGACCATGACCATTAAACATATTAAAACTATACATTTTGTGATAGATGTACAGGTTCAAATTCCAGCCATATAGCATATTGCCATTTCTTGTTTCTTTATAAAGAAAATAAAAATTCAACTAAAATTGACAGTCAGTGATCAGCATTTTAATTAAATGAAAAAGGCAAGTTTTTACAGTGGAATGTGCGACTAATTACATTTAGACTTCAATGGAGGATTTCAGACAGCATGATGCTAACTGCTAATGCAGTTTTCATTTGAGAGGAAAACTGTTTAAAAAAAAAAATCAATTAAAATATTTGAATGAATGGACAAGATGCTTCTGTTTTGATGTCACTCTATGAGCTAGATCAGTTTCCCAAGCTTTTCTGTGTATTCTACACCCACAGCTGGATTAGTAAGGGCCTGTCCTAATACCAACACTTGTGGTTTTGGCCACTTGAGAGTGTGTGCATGGAAAGGTTCAAAGTTCAAAGCCCTTAATGGACAAAAAATCCTTCAAATCAATATTTGAGGCTAAGAGTATCCCATTATTCAGGTTAATTTGCTCCAAAATTGTACGATTCTGAGGAAAATTTCCAGTTAGATATTACATATAACTTGGTAGTAAAACATAAAGTGTTGCACATTTTATTGGTGCTGATTTGAGTATGTATTTGTATTTATGCACACACTTCCACCAAACCACCATGTTGAACAATGTATTTGTAACGCATGTTGCAGCAACTGCTTTTTATCACTTAAGCATCACAAATAGTGTTGTCTGGGACTACTGAACCGACATTTAGATGTTTATTTCAAAGTGCTTTGAAAATCAAAATGTGTAAATAAAGCTCTGTAGAAATATTACTTACAGTTTTACAACACTATGACGTAAGTGCGTCCTACTGGGTAATGCAAAGTTCTACACACACTTGCAGTCTTCACGCCCACTTGAACACTTGGGCCAATGCAGGAAATAGGTCATGAATACACAAGCTGTCAAGATTCATTAAACTGAAACGGTTCAATACATAATTTGAAGAAATACAAAGCTGGCAGAAATAATCAAATTATTTCATTGATCTCTTACCGAATAAGCCTAGCTTCCATTTGGATCCATACACAGTTTTATCCCCAGTCCAAAAGAATCCCGCCATGAGTCGTGACAGGGTCAGCTTGTGGAGAGCCTTAGAACAGGCAATTGCTGCCACTTGGGTTGATACTCGGGCTAGAGGTGTTGCCCGCTTAGCGGCAG